CCTGTGGAATAGTGTCTGGGGAATAATGTCAGTGGGATAGTGTCAGAGGAATGTTGTCTGTGGAATAGTGTCCATGGAATATTGCCAGGGAAATACTGTCTGTAGAATAATATCTGTTGAATGATGTCTGTGGAATAGATGCCAGTGAAATTGTGTCTGTGGAATGTTGTCTGTGGAATAATCCCAGTGGAATAATATCTGTGGAATAATGCCAGTGGTATAGTGTCTGTGGAATAAGGTTTGTGGAATAATGTCTATGGAATAATGCCAGTAGGATAGAGCCTGAGGAATAATGCCTGTGGAATAATGTCTGAGAAAGGTTGTCTGTGAAATAACGTCCGTTGAATGGTGTTCATGGAATAATGCCAGTGGAATAGTATCTGTGGAATAATGTCTGAGAAAGGTTGTCTATTAAATAATGTCTGTTGAATGATGTTCATGGAATAATGCCAGTGGAATAGTGTCTGTGGAATAATGTCTGTGGAATGGTGTCTGTGAGAAAATTGCCTGTGGAATAACGTGGAATAATGTCTAAAGAACAAAGTGTGGAATTGTGAAAGCAGAGTTAATGGAAAGTTTTCTTACAGAACAGCTTGTGCTATGACTCATTCATTCTTCTGAGTGAATTGGTGATATTAATGAGTGTCTGTGTGCTGCAGGGTGATATTGAGGTGGAGAGTGAGCTGGTGTTTAAACTGGCTGCACACGCTCTGCAGGTGAGAACAAAAGAGTCCCAGTCAATGTGTTTTTCTGGAACTGTAATCAGCACTGACAGCTCTGCACTCTCTCACCAATCTGTTTATATTTATAGGAAGCTAAGGGGGATTATACAAGGTAAGAAAACCCAACTCCAGAGCACAAAAGTCATTTTATATTCCTGAACATTTTGACTTCTGACTGCATTGTAAAGTTTAAGCTCTAATCTCCCAGCGGTCTTTGTAGTAGTGCTGCACTGCCTGTCAGCGGTTCGGAGATATCTGGCTTCTTTTGAAATTAGTTTTTTTTTGTCCTGTACTTTCCACTAAGGCAGCTCTGTGCTGATGCTGTGTGTATATTTATTTTTAATGCTTAGTTTCATGATCACCAAGGTACCTTCTTCATATTAATTAATGATTTGACAGTTTTCTTTTCCAAACTATCATTAAGGGAGAAAATGGGTCGCTTTTGGCTTTATTCCCAAGGCAGCTTAATCCTTCTGTTTTGCAGTTTATACAATAAAAAACGGCAAATAACTAACCAACAGTTACCAATGTGCTAAATGACTGGCAAGCAAAGAAAAAGTATAAAAACATGTAACACTATTATGTAAACTTTTGATGGCCAGTGTATTTTGAATGATCTTACAATTACAATATAAGCACCAATGATTTTATTGCTATTTTATTGATCTCTTCTTCTCTCCTGCTTTACAGTGATGGCTGTGTGGTAATTAATAATTCTGATTGATTTCAGTGATGACAACACCAGGACGGATTTAAAGAAACTTCCCACTCTGCCAACCAAAGTCCTGAAGGAGCATCCGTCTCTGGCTTACTGGTACTGAGTCACACTGAGCTAAAAAACGAATAATAATAAATAACAATAATAAATAATGACTCATTATTTCCGTCATCTTTTATAAATATTAGCCATAATATCATACATACATCATCTAAACCACTTATCCTTCTGGGTCGCTGGAGCCTATCCCAGCTGTCATTGGGCAGAAGGCAGGATACACCCTGGACAGGTCGCCAGTCCATCGCAGGGCAGACAGACAGACACACACTTTCACACCTAGGGGCAATTTTAGCATGTCCAATTGGCCTGACTGCATGTTTTTGGACTGTGGGAGGAAACCGGAGTACCCTGGGGGAAACCCACGCAGACACGGGGAGAACAGGCAAACTCCACACAGAAATGACCCTGGTCGCCCGGCCGGGAATCGAACCCAGGCTGTGATTCTTGCTGTGAGGCGACAGCGCTACCCACTGCGTCACCGTGCCACCCTTGCCATAATACCAGTTGCACATAAATTTACTCACAGTTTAACCCTTAAATGCACATCTCAGGTTCTTTATTTCCCGTAACCTCATTTCTCCCCTCTATCTTATCAATCGCTTTGAATGTGTGACAACTAAAATATTAAAATATAACGATTTTTTATTTTATTTTGTTTTGTCAATAATTTTTTTTTTTTATCCTGGCAGTTTATCGATCAATTTATTTCAATGCTGGGTTGCTAACGACCTGAGCTATGATGGATGTATTGGAGAAACAACCATGCAAGTAAAGGATAAACACCCCTGCATTTAAAGCTTAAATGTCATTGCATTTAATGGTCAAACACTCATGCATTTAAGGGCTAAATACTTATGTATTTTTGGGGTTACATAACCATGTATTGAAGGGTTAAACACTCATACACTCAACATCTTAACAGCCATGCATTTAATGGTTGAACACTTGTGTGTTTAACGGTTATAACCCATTAATTTAAGGGTTAAACACCCTTACATTTAAGGGTTAAACATCTATGCATTTAAAGATTAAACACCCTTACATTTAAGTGTCGAACACTCATACATTTAAAGGTTAAACAGCCATGCATTTCAGGGTTAAACACCCATATATTGAAGGATTAAATGCATTACGTGCATAAAATGCAAATGGCCAAACACTCATGCATTTCAGGCCTAAACATCAAGCCTAAAGCCTGTTGCATCTAATGGTTAAACACTCATGCATTAAAGTGTTAAACATGCATATATTGAAGGATTAAATGCATTAAACGCATTAATTGCAAATAATTAAACACTCATGCATGTAAGGGTTAAATGTTCATGCATTTAAGGGTTAAACAGTTATGCATTTATGGATTAAACATCCATGCATTTAAGGGTTAATAAACACCTATGCATTTAAAAGTTAAACACTCATGTATTTAAAAAATTAAACACTCATGCATTTAAGAGTTAGATACTTGTGCATTTAAGGGATAAAAACATGCATTTAAGATTAAATACCTATATATTTAAAGACTCGTGCAGTACAGAGTTAAACACCCTGCATTTGAGGGATAAACACCCATTCATTTAAGCATTTATGTTAAAGTGGTACGGAAATAAGTAGTAGATAAATGCTCAGGGCAAGATGCGCAAGCGAACACAGAAGGGCCGCAAAACATGCGATTGCACTATGTAGCCACAACATGCTTCAATTTAGGGATGTGGCGTTAATAAATGAAGTTATTTCACCAGAACAGTCTACAGGGGTTTAATTCCACTCTGGCTAAAGTCCTGCTGGGATGGGAGCAGTTGTACAGGTGGTGTAATGCCAAGATTATTATTAATGTATATATTTAAATATTTCCACTAGATGCAGAAGTGGATGCTGATGCTGAGTGTTTATTATGTATATATGTTATGGCCGTGATGGCAGGATATGAAAGCTTTGTGGACTCTGATCTGTAAAACACCTTCGTTTCCGCTGACGTTCTGCAGCAGAGAACGCGATGAGAGATGTTCTCATTCCTCTGCAGTCTGAATAAATCCTCCGATCTGAAGCCTTTTCATCTTCTCTCTGTCTTCCCGCAGTGAGGAGAGAGTGATTGAGCACTATAAGCAGCTGAAGGGCGTCTCCAGGGGTCAGGCCATTGTCCAGTGAGTATTGATAAAACTATCATTAACGCTATAGGGGTCATCTCAGCCGATGTGATTTATGACAGAGCCCATAATACTTCACTTTGAGCACAGAGGCTTCGTGACGATCAATAAACCAGCCAACCGTTACAGATCCACCACAGGTTAAAGCGATAGTTAAAGTAAATTTATACAGTTTGCACAATTTACACAATCTTGCAGCAGCTACACAATTTGTAGGTGCTTTGCTTTCATTGCAATGCTATTTGGTGGGATATAAGCCTTCATGACTTGTTAGCTACTTTACCTTCATTTCAGTGCTAATTTGTGAGATGTAAGCTTTCCTTATTTGTAGCTACATCACCTTCAATAACTGTTAATCGGTGGGGTATAAATGTCTACTACCCTTTAGCTACATTATCTTTAACAACAATGCTAATTGTTATTGCTATATTACCTTCAATAACAATGCTAATTTGTGGGGCATAAATGTCTATTACATGTTAGCTACATTACAATCAATAACAATGTTAAATGATGGGGTATAAGCTTTGGTTATTTGTTAGCTACGTTACCTTGTATGCAATGCTAGTTGGTGGGGCATACATTTCCATTACTTGTTAACTACATTTCTTTCCCTGCAGCAATGCTAAATGGTGGGGTAACTATATTACTTTCTATAACAATGCTAATTGGTAGGGCATACATTTCCATTACTTGTTAGCTACTTTAACTTTGCAGTATTGCTAATTGGTGGGATGTAAGCTTCCATTGCTTCTTAACTTCATTAGCTTCAGAGCAGTGCTAATTGGTGGGGGGCAAGCTTTCATTATTTGTTAACTACATTTACTTGGCAGAGATGCTAAGTGGTGGGGTATAGGCTTCCAGTGCTTGTGAGCTGTATTACCTTCAATAATGATGCTAATTGGCAAAATGTAAGCTTTCATTACTTGTTAGCTGCATTACCTTGTATGCAATGCTAAATGGTGGGGCATACATTTCAATTACTTGTTAAGTACATTAGCTTTGCAGCAGTGCTAAATGGTGAGGTAATTATTTTACTTTTTTGCCCTGCTAATTGGTGGGGCATACATTCCCAAGACTTGTTAGCTACGTTACTTTCAATAACAATGTTAATTGGTGGGGCATAAGCTTCCATTACCTGTTAGCTACATTGACTCTGCAGCATAGTTAATTGGTGGGAGGTCAGCTTTCATTATTTGTTAACTACATTTACTTTACAGCAATGCTAATTGGTGGGCTGTAGGCTCCATTACTCGTTAGCTACATTAGTCTTGTAGCTCCAGTGTTAAACTAAAGAAGTAAACCTCAGACACCAAACATGTCTTGGTTGGGGGAACTATCACTTTAATGTATGTACCTGAGAGGGTTCTAAGTGAATGGAACTAACGGTGATGCTCTGTGTTTCAGGTATTTGACCCTGGTGGAGTCACTGCCCACATACGGAGTCCACTATTATGAAGTGAAGGTAATTGTTAATGGCAGCATTTGAATTAATGATCAATGCGGTAATCAGACTCAGCTCAGGTGACTCTGATACAGATACAGACACAAATCAATAGCAGTACTAAAGTCAACAGATAACCTTGACAACATGATGACTTAATTTAGGGGTCAGACTTCATCTCACTTTAATCTTTTCTAATTGTAATTCAGCTGCCTGGGCGTTTGGTCAAGAAGTTCTTTAGAAGTAATTTAATTGTAATTTTGTGTTAAATTGTGTTTGAATGTCATGAATCTGATGAAACAATAACTTTATGGGACAAAGAGAAAAATATTCTAATAAAAAATTCTAATAAAAGTTTGTGATAATGTAACTTAAACATACATTACACATAGATTAAAATAAAATCAAGCTTAAAGTTCTATTAAAATTAATATCCAGAGTGAAGTTCTAATAAAATTAATATTCAGAATTAAATTCTTATAAAGTTAATATCCAAAAAATAGTTTTGATAAAATTAATATCCAGAATGAGGTTCCACTAAAATTAATATCTAGAAATAAGCTCTAATAAAATAAATTTCCACAAAGAAGTTCTAATAAAGATAATATCCAAAAACGTTTTGATGAAATTTATTTCCAAAATGAAGTTCTGATAAAATTAATATCCAAAAAGACATTCTAATAAAATTAATATCTAATAAAATTATTGTGCAGAATGAAGTTCTCATTAAATTAATATCCAGAATGCAGTTCTAATCAAATTAATATCTAAAATTACATTGTTGTAAAATTTATTCCCAGAATGAAGTTCTATTAAAATTATTTAAACATATAAAATAAAGCTTCTAAAAACGTAGTTTTAATCTGTAGTTTATAAGACTTAATTCTACACAGTATAAGTTTTTTATTGCATATGAAATAATACACATTATGAACATAAGTAAAGCTTTAACACAGTAATGTGTTTATTTTTGGCAGAGAAGCAGGTTTTGTTTCAGAGTCACACATCTCTCAGACTTCCCTAAACACAGTCAATTCCTCTTTCTGTTCGAGATTCTGGTCTGTTTTTAACTTTGCGGAAGTGTCATCTGTTTGTTTTGTTGTGTTTGTTTGTTTACTGCAGGATAAGCAGGGTCTGCCCTGGTGGCTGGGAATCAGCTATAAGGGAATTGGCCAGTACGACATTCAGGACAAAGTGAAACCGAGAAGGGTACGATACGGCATTCTAATGTTTTAGACTTATGTATTGCTTTGAGGAACAACGAGAGTCTCTCTGAGAGCAATTTAATGGATTCAGGAGTTCCAGTCACATCCAAAAGTTTGAAATTTGGTCAAATTCCATGTTTATTGTTGATGTTCCGAGTGTGAATAAGTTACACATCCACTACAGAGACACACTTATGCACGTTTTAATACACAGTTACTATTTATTCGCTGAATGTAACATATTTAGGCTGCATTTTATGTGTTATTTTTCCCCCAGTGTGTTAAATTCAGTAAATAAACAGTAATTGTGTATTAAAATATGCAGACTTAAGTTCTGGTCTATAACGCAGCTTCATTAGAAACTAGAGTGCAAGCCAAGCAGCTTGCTCTCTAACTGTTAGCTCACTGCTCTTACTGTTAGCTGGCTCCAGCTCCCTCTAGCTCTGATACAAAAACCACTGCTTTGGCAGAACTTAGCCCTGCCCTTCAAAATAAAAGTCCAATAAATGCTAGGAACAATAACCTAACACTACTGTGAGAAAATCTTTAGATATTTAAATAGCACTTTTCATGCCAGTGGCAGCTCAAAGTGCTTTACAGACAGGTTATGAAGCTTAACAGTAACAGAAGAAACTATGAGTGTTAATGTAAAATCATATGACACTGTAAAAAAGCCTCTTCAGATCAACCTAAAAAAATTACTTCATGTAGTAACAAGATACTGAACTAGTTTTATTCAACTGAATAAATGACACTGTTTAAAAGAATTGTTCATTTAAAGTATTTATTTAGGTTGAATAAAACTAGTTAATTTACATGTTGTAACAAATAACTCAGGTTTATTACACAATCAGAAGAAGCATCAGCAATACCAGGGTCAAAACCGTCAGGAAACCATAGAAGATCAGACCAACAATCCAAAAATGTGATCCAGTACTCATTAATGATAAAAGAAAGCAAAAGGTCATACCAGGAGTGGACAAGACAAGGCAAAACAAGGCTCAGAATTGCAAGGTAAACCTAACGAGACTTTGCACAGAACACAGGTCAGAATGTCCTTTAAATGCTCAACAAAATGGCCTCTGATGAGTCTCAGTACTCAGGAGAACAAGACCTCTTTTTAAATTTGTTTTCAAAAAAGTGTCTTTAAAGTTCCGACCAAACTGCATAGTCTGGGATTTGTGGTATACAAAACTATAAAAAAAAAAAAACAGGTTATCTAGTTGTTCTAGAAGGCTTCACTGCAATGCTAACTGGTGGGATATACAATTCCATTAATTTTTAGCTGCATTACCTTCAATTATGTTAACTGCTGGCATATAAGGTTTTGTTACTTGTTAGCTGCTTTACCTTCATTGCAGTGCTTCAATCAATAACAGTGTTAAATGGTGGGAAAAAAGCTTTGATTATTTGTTAGCTGCATTATCTTGTATGTAATGTTAATTGGTGAAACAAAATCTCTTGAATTAAGTATCTCTGTTAGCCATGACAGCTTAGTGTCAAGTTATTGTTTAGGGCTGTTTAGTTAATGTGTTGACCTGCACAGGCTTCATAAAGACAATAGCATATCTTTGAAAATGAACATCCTCGACTATATCAGAGTGTCAGGTCATGCTGATCCCCCAGGAACATTCTTTTTAAAGGCTATCTGGAACTTCAAATATAACGTACATGGGCAGGAACGCTAGCACAATGTGAAAAAAAGACCCTGAAAGCTTGACCGAGGTAATGGCAGGTGGTTGAACAATTGCTAAGCAGTGAATGCAGGAGAAAATGAAGCAAATGTTCAGGAAAGGCTTGGAGAGCGTCAGGATTATGATTGAACTTGAGGTTGAAATTTTTTTTTTTTTCGCTGTTCCTATAGTAAACTTCCCAGTGTGAGTCAAAACAGCTGTTTATATTTTCTCACAATTGCTCATGGGGGCCCCCTAGTGGCTCGGCTTCCTGGCCATGCGCCCATAAAACCCACTGGATGACCCAGGCCTGGTTTCTTATAGAGAATGTGATTGTGACTGAAAATCAACAACAAGATGGAACTTTTTAAACTTCTTTAACTTTTATACTGTGTTCTAATTCACACTGACAAGTTTTGAGGATGTACGAACAGGGACATGGGGAGTGGGGGGGGAGGCTGATCAATAGCCTGATGGCCACTTAAGGACATAATGAAGACTTTCTTAAGAGAATATTTGAAAACTGTTTTTGAGAACTTCTTTTCAGATGATTCTTCTGGTTCTCAGCGTCTGTTCTAAGATTCTTTGTAAGTTGCTACACAAACATCATGAGATTCAGCTGAACGGTGTCATGTGGACTCGTTTATAGCTGTAAACAGAGAGAAAGAGAGAGAGAGAGAGAGAGAGAGAGCGATGGAGGGAAAGGGGAGAGAGATATAGAGATAGAGAAGACAGAAAGAGAAAAAGTAAAAAAGGGAGAAGAAAAGGGAGGAAAGAGAGGGAAAGATCAAGAATATATTTAAGCTGACAGCAAGGTAATATATTACTGCAGCATTACTCAGAGAGAAAGAGAGAGAGATGTGTCCATACTTGTAAAGATTGGAATGCAAGTATTAATACATGCATACTTGCACTGATGCAATGAGAGGAAGAGAGAGAGGGAGAGAGAGAGGGAGAGAGAGGTTTACTGTGTGCTGTGAGGAGTTTTTCTGGTATGTGAGTGATGGTGAGCAGAGTCAGGATGACAGGGTGCCTTTAGCTATTCACAAAACCTGAAGAGACACGTTCGGAACATAGAACTGAGACAGAAGCGACTGCAACAGCTGAACACGGATTATAAAAACTCGCTATTCTGGGATTTTATTTCTATGGATCTGTTTTCATACAACTGGTAAGGACCTTATTTACTGACACCATCAGTTTAGAGGGCTTATATAATAGGCTCATTAATTGATATAATTATATAATAGGCTCATGAATAATAATATACAAATATGCAAATGTCACATTTAGAGCTGGGCGATACGGTAAAAATATAATATCACGTTTTGAAGAGACACAATAAGCCATTCTATTTATTTTTTCTGATAAGTTCGAACAAAGTACTGACACATTTAAAAATAATACAAAAACTGTATACAATGATTATTATTCATCATTTCACACACTGCACTAAACTGAAATAAACAGGACTAAACATTGTTCTTTTAATACTGACGATATCTACAATACGCTCAGAGTTTAGCTTATTGACAATTGTGACACATTGTGATGTAATATATCACTATAACAATACTGTCATATTTATCGGCAATATTTATAAATAAGAATATAAATGGCCAAAATACTTTAATAAAAATATGCATTAATGTACTGTATAAAAACATAAGCAGTGCTTTTCCATAATGTAAAGTTTATGTTTATACTACTGGTGGATTTCTATTAAGTATTAAGTCGAACAGCCAAGACATGTTATCTGAAGTCTGCTTCTTAGTTTTAGCACTGGAGCTACTAAGCTAATGTAACACAACTAACACATAATGGGGCTGCAAATTAACTTAAGCTAGATGCCCTATATACATTACATGTGTTGCACTCTATGTAACAATGTTTGTACTGTCCCTGTCAAATAAACATAAAATAAAACAAAATTAATGGAAGATTGTACTCCACCAGTTAGCATGGCACTAACTGCATGCTTAGGTGATTTCAGACAGCCTTGCTTACACTGTATGACATTAAGATTAAGTGACCCTTATTAGTCCCACAACAGGGAAATTTCACATCTGCATTTAACCCATCCGTGCAGTAAAACACCACAAACACACTAGTGAGCACACTTGCCCGGAGCGGTGGGCAGCCTCTATCCACAGCACCAGGGAAGCAGTTGGGGGTTAAGTGCCTTGCTCAAGGGCACCTCAGTCACGTACCGTCAGCTCTGGGGATCGAACCGGTGACCTTCCGGTCACAGGGCCGGTTCCCTAACCTCCAGCCCATGACTGCCCCATGACATGGCGTTATCTATAAACATGGACAGAAGTACAGACAAAATTTAGCTTACTGTTGATTTTAGCTTTATGCTAATGTGCTTTAGTCCTTGTTTATAGATAATAGTGAATCACACAGTGTCAGAAACCACATAATCAAGTCTGTTAGAGATATGGAACAACTCCACACTGTTTGATGGATGAATTAGGCATGTTGTGCTAACTGGGGGTGTATAAGCTTGTTAGCTACATTAGCCTCATAGCTCCAGGGCTAAAACTAAAGAAGAAAACTTCAGACTAGGCCTGTCACAGTTATTACATAATTGCTTAATTACGGTCCCTGCTGAAAAAAGACAATTTGGTCCTTTATTTTGGAACGATTAGGATTAAAACCTGACGGTTTTTCACTTATAATGGCATAATGCTACCATTAGGGACCACCAATTCTTGAAGGACATCCCACTAGGAATGTACTATTCAAAAATAAATGTATGTAAATGTGTTTATCAAAACCATTTGACAAAAAGTATGTTGAAAATGTATGAAAACAGCCAAAATCCTGTCTAATGCACTTTACTGTCTGATACCTTTTGAAATTAATTTGTATTCCAGCATCTTCATTTTAAATATTAGAATTGAACCTTTAACATGACAAAGGCGAGTGTTCTAGGTATTGATACTCTGTGAAAATGCAGTTTGCGGATTTGATATATTGTTTATGTGAAATAGATTGTGTGTGTGTGTCTTACAGCATGCGTACATGGTTAATGTAAAGTACAATGCAGATCACAGAAGTCAGTACCGTTTAGTTACATCTGTAACCTTTAATACAACTACATACAGCTGAACACATATAATAACTAATACAAATAAATACATTTAAAAATATATTTAACAAATACATTTTTGGTCATTTTCATACACTGCAAAAATATGCTTCATAAATACATTTGGAATATATATTTTTTCCATATGGGAGCTGACAAGTATAGTGGCTTAGCAGTTTAGGCTCTCTCAGACTTTAGGCTTGTATTTTAATGGTTGCAAATAATAAACAACAATTAAATTGTAATAGCAATTATTTATACAACAATTTATCATCAGGGGGGTGGGGTAATGTTTTTTACTTTTGACCAAACTATCGCATTAAAGCTGAGGTGAGCACATAGAGTGTGTGGGCAGAAATGTGCAGGATAAATCAAGGCTATTAGACAGAATGAAAATGTGTATGAGTTGTCTGAGTTTCTGGAACACAGAGTGTTTCTTCACTGGATTAATGCAGCCTGCAGCCATCAGTTTAATACACAGTCATTCAGACTGTAACAGACAGTGAGTCAGTCAGTGTGTCTGCAGCAGAAAACACCTGCAGCTGTACTACAGAAACATCTTAAGTCTGAAATCTGATCTGTTTAGTCTCCATGATGGCTTCAGTACGGACTGAATTTAGGACCGTAGCTATTACAGGATAACAGTTCCTAACTTCATAATCTTATCATTAACTCCAGATAAGAAAACAGTATTACACAAACATCCTGACTAGACTAAACCTCCTAAATACTGTCCTAACTTTAGGACAAACCCCAACAGTGTCCTAACGTCTGTTTAAACGTCTTTTTCTATTGTTTTTAGGCAGCTGTGTCAGGAAGCATAGTTCACTACTAGCATAATGACACTACATTTATTTACACTGTAAAACGCTGCTTTCACTGTGAGATGTTTTTCTTTTCTAACTCTGCGTTTTAAAAATCTTTGTTTGTTTGACCTTTTTACATCAGTAACAGCAGCTAGCGGTATCGCTAACTAACTTGATTATTTTTTTAAGTGTTTATGTTTCAGCTATGTGTGTGTATGATTGGTTGCTAGGAAACAGACATGACAGCCGATTGTCGACTTCGATTGAGTAGGTTAAGATTTCCTAACTGGAGATAAGATGCTGTAAGATAAGATTCATTCATTATTTTGATAGTACTTTTTAAAGGTGGCAGGTGGCACTATATTGTTTTTGTTTTTCCAATTTATTACTTATCAGAAATATATATATATACAATTTTTTTTTATTATATATACTGTGTATCATGAAAGCTTCTGTAAGTATTGTGATATTACAGGATTGCCACATCGCTCAGCTCTACTGTGAGTGAATATACAGACTAAACTCTGTTCCTGTGTGTGTTACTGTAGCTGTTCCAGTGGAAGCAGCTGGAGAATCTGTATTTCCGGGAGAAGAAATTTGCAGTTGAGGTGAACGACCCTCACAGGTCAGCAAATCACACACTCAGAGTACACTTAGACCCCTATGTGCGAGTGTGTGTGTGTGTGTGTGTGTGTGTGTTTAGTAAGCTGTGATTCTGTTGTGGAAATTTTCAGCCCCATATCATCTTTTTGTTTCCTTCTCTTTTTTGTGTTTATATCTTTGTCACTCCGCTCCTTTATAGTTTCTCCACCCTTTTTCAGTTTGTAATTGTGTCTCTGCCCCATAGTTTGCAATTTTATGCCACTTTTCTATGTGTATGTTTCTGTGTGTATTTTGGTGACTCCGCCCCTTTTTTGTTTGTGTCTTTGTGACCCCGCCCCTTTTCTGTTTGTGTCTTTGTGTCTCCACCCCGTTTCTGTGTACATTTTGTGACTCCGGCCCTTTTCTGTTTGTATCTTTGTGACTCCACTCATTTTCTGTGTATTTTGTGTCTCCACTCCTTAGTAGTATGTAATTGACCTAGTATGTAAATGACCTACAACAACAGTATACGTTTTGAAGATTTGCTTTTTAAGGCAGCATCTTTTCACTGCTGTGTGTTTGTGTGTTCAGGCGAGCGGTCACTAAGCGTACATTTGGTCAGACGGGTTTGGTGATCCACACCTGGTACGCCAGTCACTCTCTGATAAAAACCATCTGGGTCATGGCCATCAGCCAGCATCAGTTCTACCTGGACCGCAAACAGAGCAAGGTGGGATTACTCACACTGATGATCCTCATTCCTCATATTTAATTATTCTCACTCTACCTCCTAATTGACAGAAAAACATTATATTGCACGTTGTTTACTGTAAGAACTGATAGACAGATTGTTGTTCAGAGGCCATCTAGGAAATCTCAGTTTCTTTCTTGTTTATTCTGTTCGCATTTATGACAAAAATATCATATAAGTAATGTAATTAGCAGATAGTCAAGATTTTTGATATATTTAAAAATTGCCTTTAACTGATTTGTGACACGACTTGGACTCAAGAAATTTCAACTTCAAATTAAAAAACAACACAAACAATACTGATTAAATTAGGAGCGCCAACCTAAACAGGAAATGAATGAAACTTTTAGTTTCTAAACTTATGTGTGTCTTCACCTGCAGTCATTACTGTGGTGCCGTTCTCCTGCAGCTCGCAAGAGCATTAGGTTCACTACACATTACTCGACCTGCAAACAGCGACTTGTAAACATCTCTATCATACAGAAACCACACAGTCTATTAGAGTCTGTTAGAGATTACTGAACAGCTCCATACAATTTGAGGCAAGTTAGGATGTAGCCATGCTAACTGTGATTAGCTACATTAGCCTCATAGTTCCAGTGATAAAACTAAGGAAGCAAACTTCAGACACCAAACATTGGCTGATTTTATGCCAAATGATCACTTTAATCTTCATCATCATTTATCACAATTATCATTCTGCTCAACAGGCAAAAATAACTACAGCGAGAAGTTTGGGAGATATCGCTATGGACCTGACGGAGAATGGAGCATCTAAAACAAGTAAACTCAACGTGGCGGTAAAAAATCAGCTCATTATGGCCAGCAACGGCAGCCTGGTCTCTACAGGTTAGATTTTATTTCTGCTTTATTAATGTTTATTTTATCAAGTGTTTATGTTCTATTTCTGTCTCTCTCAAGCTTTTGATATTATTCCCCATAATTTCATAATTTTTGTATGTGTGTGTGTGTGTGTGTGCAAAAGTAGCTACTAACTTTAACTCTCACTTAACTTCTCATTCTGATTTAAATTACTGAAGTAGGCATACCTCAACAGTAGACAACAGAGTGGATACTGTTTCTTTGCTCAGAGCTTCAAGTCTACTTTTTTGTTTTTTGCCACAAGCTACATGCCACTACAAATACAAAATACTCAAACTACATGTCCACTTTGCTTCTGTGCCACATCACTTTACTTCAGCCTCACTTTACTTTAGCCTCATTCATAAATTTATAAACAGTAATGAAATGTATTAACGTTCACACTGAAGATAAGAGTTGAATTGATTTTATCAAAATACAGAACAAGTAATATTATTTTGGGATTAAAAATTTGTGTTTAAATTATTGTAGATTTTTTTTTACTTCCTAATATCTTTTATTTTTATTCCACAACCTTTATTCAGAACTAGTATTAAATCACTAATAAATGTACTACCAATAAATTCCTGCTTATTGTTCTACACTCTGGATTAAAATTTTCATTAGACTGTGGTATATTTTATCTTGTGAAGTCTGCATCAACCACTGACAAGTTTAAATCTTGCCTTACGACTTTTCTCTTTGGTTTATGACTGTGCAATTTTATGTGCTTGGTTAATCATCTTTTTTCTATTTGTATATATTATTTTATGTTCTTTTATCTTTGCGTTTTGTGTTTTAATTGGGCAGTTTTGTTTTAATATGTTCTACATGCTGTTAGCATGTCCTGTGTTTTCTATTATTCATTTTTTGTTTTTCTTTTGTTTATAAATGGTTTTAGTTGACCTTATTACCTTCACAGCACTTTGGTCATATTTACCTAGTTTTAAATGTGCTTTAGAAATAAACTTGACTTTATTTGACAGTCTCACTAAGTATGTAACACTGTCGGCCATTTCATGTGTCATTGTTCGTTTTTATCATGTTCGTTGTTGCATTTGTTGACTGAAAGAACACTATACTGATGAAAGTGAAAGCCTTTTTGGCTTTATCTCATTTCACTTCAGAAAACACTTGGTATGTCTCTGGACAAACATTACCTCTACATGTGGGTCCTGCCATGAAAAATCTCAGGCTGCTTTAGACCTTTCTGGGTATGTACTGTGTATTGCAGGTTCAGCCGACTCTGAGATTAACGATGAGCAGAAAAAGGAGAAACTCTCTGAGCTGAGGAAAAAAGAGAGAGAAATCCAGGATGTCCTGAGTCAGAAAATGGCAGAGCTAAAGAAGATATGCCTGAGGGAAGCGGTAAGAGCAAAATTACAGATCACAGATCTCTACAGATTAGCTATATCAGTCAAACACAGAGTAAGCAGCTACAGTGATTGCAGTACTGCACTGAATTTACTCCATTCAAACGTGTACATTAATTCTGTTTACTTACTTTTGGCAATAATAGTGTTTCTGTAGCATATTTTATCAGTGTGGAACCCTCAGGGTCTTCAGGTGTTCAGAGACGGCCTAATGACTCCTGAGAAAATACATGTCTATAATTTTTAGTTATATAAAAGAATCATTATGCTTGTTGTATTTAAACTGTAAGTACTGCAGTAATACTGCATTAATATTTCATTAAGTTTTGGTTGGAAACAAAAGGTTTAAATTCTTGAAATATCCTACAGAAAATGATCCAATCAGCATTGTTTTCTCTGTGGAATCTACATACATACAGCCTAATCAATCTCTCCCACTGGTTAGGACTTCAGGAGCTGGACTGAAGGCCTTACACATAATTAGGAAATGACAGTGGAATCAAATAGTCATGCTTTAATTTACAGTGTGGATGTCGAGTCCTTATGGAGGTTTTAGATACTTCACTGACTGTGAATTGAGCTGTAGTCGAAGCAGTGTTCCGAGTAGTTGTTAGGAATAGAAAACAGCGGCGTCAGTTGCTGTAAAACTGATAGATACAAGCTCAGATATATGATAATGTCTTGCATTATATATATATATATATATATATATATATATATATATATATATATATAAATTTGTATTATATTTGTATTATATTATTATATAAGATTGAATGTCTTTTGCAAGCTTCAAATGTCTTTGTTTAATCTAGGACTGCCAAACAGCTAACAGACTACTACAATCTCATAGAGACACTGAGCATTATCATTTTTTAGAGGTGTTTTTCCCTCATGTTTTGACATTTATGGCCCATATTGGAGGCCTAGCTTTATTAGCCATGGTTTACCAATGATTTTTTTCATGTGTTAACAGTGTACACATTTCAATCAAGTTCAATACTTTATTGTGTTGAGTTTATAGAGTATATCATGTTCTACTGTACAGGTCAGGACCTATAAATTTTTCAGTTCTGCGAAGAAAAACAGCTTTCTATCTGTTACTTTACTGCAAAATGGCAAACAATACATAAAAAAAAACTGTGACCCCAGTCTTTTGACGGGCAGGGTATTGTTACGATTCTACACACTAGACAGTAATATGATTGTCCCTTTTCTAACAATTTCAAAACTATTATTAACTATAATCAGTCAGCTTCTGAACATTAATGAGACCTTTCTTGCTGTGTCCTGATATTGATATATTGGATGTTTTTACTATATGTATCTTTTGTTTAAGGAGCTAACAGGCAAACTGCCAAAAGAGTACCCAGTAACGGCAGGAGAGAAGCCCCCTGGCTTCAGGAGGAGGGTGGGGACCGCCTTCAAACTAGACGAGCTTTTTCCATATAATGAGGTCAGTGTTGTACAACCACCGATAGGACAATAGACTCGAAAATCAGCTGATATTTAAAGTGATAGTTTAACAAAAAAAATAGAATTACACAATCCCCACATATGTAGTCCATCTGTCAAAACTGTAATGTAAAGTTTTATATTAACAGCTGATTAGTAATTTATGACAATATTGTTCTCAGAATCCGCACTTTCAACAGAATTGCTGTTTTGCTTGTTTTAATGAGCTACGAGTGAGAAATAGTTGACATCAAATTATTGTACAACTTTGTTGGCAGTTTCTAAAGTTCTGAGGGTCAGACTCTGGGTCTACACTTCAGTTTCTCTACTTTCACAAATACAGTTACTGAATAATTCAGAACAGATACTGAATCATTTACAGTACACACTGAATAATTCATAGTAGATACTGAATAATTCATAGTAGATGCTGAAAAATTCATAGTAGATGCTTATTAATTCATAGTAGATACTGAGTAAGTTATAGTAGATAATAAATAATTAATAGAACTGCTTTTTTATTACAATAAAAAAACCAAACACAATTTTTAATAAGACAATGATTCCTGTTGTGATAATTATTTGCAAAAATAAAACATATTTATGTCAGACGCCTCGATTGGTCTGGCCAAATACATGATTGGCAGCTAAATGTGTTTATATTTTCAGTGTAAGTCAGTGTTAAATGTGTATTTTTTTGATCATATGGAATTCGTCCATCATGAATAAAGGACTACAAACAGAAAATTGCTGGATATTTTTGGTGTTTTTTTGGGTTGCTTTATTGTACATTTTAAATGATTTCTTTCAGTTAAATCTCAAGGACTGTGGGGGGCTTTTGTAGCTGGGCTGTATTGGCCATTGGGCTGTATGGGCAATGATTTGTGAACACTTGGGAAATGTTGGGAACAACTGCTTAATATAATGGTATAAAGTCTCCAAGAATGGAAAGTTCTGTACGACCCTGGGCGTGGCTAAAAAATGCTCATATCTGAACTTGGATACAAAATCGTAAATGATACTTGTTTCAATACTTTAAATATAAAAAAAGTTTATAAAAAAAACTACATCACTGTAGTTTTATAAAAGCAGTCTTAGATTTTAAAGAGATCTCGCTACAGAACTCTGATGTCATAACATAAATTACAGGATGTAATTTAAACAGCCAATCACCAGTCTAGATTTTAGAAGAACCATGCTTATTGGCTCATGGGTGCTGATTAGATTGCCACTTAGATATTGAAATTTGGTACTGAATTTGATGAATTTTTGATTAAATTTTATTAAACATATTCATTCTGTGCCATAAAAGTATCAAATTTCAGTACCAGTCTCTGTCTTTACCCAACCTTCACCTGCATGCTCCTCTGTTGTAGGACCCATACCTGAGGAACCTGGAGAGTCGCTTTGCTCTGCAGCAGAAGATTGTGGAGGCTGCGAAAAAGCTGGCGACCGAATCTGACATCAGTAAAACAGTGAAAAAGAAGCGGAGGAGGAACTGCCTGGATGCCATGCAGAGGCTGCAGGAGATAGAGGACGAGATGAACCGCTACCGAGTGAAGAAGGGAAAAAAACCCACACAGAGAGCATCGCTCATCATCGCAGGTATTAAACAGAACATAATTAATCTGAAATCTAAATTCATACCTTGTTAACTTTAACTATCAACAGTTCTGACTTTTTCCCATTTGTCTTGATGTCAAAAATGTAAAGAATGTTTTTTCTTTCCATAAAACATGACAGAAATAACTTCAATAATAATAAATTCAAATCATAATAAAAAAAATCTCCCCCCCTTCTTCTACTTACAAACACAAATGTGGTATGGATTGAAAGGGGATTGCTTTCATCATCCCCAGTGATAACAGTGATGTCTTATGGTTAAAGGAGGCTCTTGTGTAGTGTCAATTTTGGCTCAGCTGTCTCAGTTGTGTGTTTTGAACGTGTCTCTTCAGGTTTCGTGAATAGCTACAGGCACACAGCCCTAAATATCTCTCTCCCTTTTAAAAAATGCCACTATCTCTCTTTCCATCTTACTCTCTCATTCTCAGATGAACTGGCTCCCTCAGAATGCAGTTCCCTTTCTGACAGCCTGAATCTGGATGATGGTGAGTGAGACACATAAAGTACAGAGAAATACCTTCAGCAAATTGAACTAAAGCGTATAGTATAAACTTTACCAGACCTGACTCGGTCCCAAAACTATATGGTGTTATCTGAATGAGGTTCCCAACTGAACCAGGTCTCCAAACTGACTCGATCCCAAAACTATACAGTGTTATCTGAATGAGGTTCCCAGACTGAATCAGGTCTCCAAACTGAATCAGGTCCCAAAACTATACAGTGTTATCTGAATCAGGTCCCAAAACTGAATGAGGTCTCCAAACCGACTCAGGTCCCAAAACTATACAGTGTTATCTGAATCAGGTCCCGAGACTGAATTAGGTCTCCATACCATACAGTGTCATCTGAATGAGGTCCCCAAACTTAATCAGGTCTCCAAACTATACAGTGTTATCTGATTCAGGTTCTCAAAGTGATCCAGGTCTCCAAACTGAATCAGGTCCCAAAACTATATAGTATTATCTGAATCAGGTACCCAGACTGAATCAGATCTTCAAATCATAGTGTTAATCCACAATTTTAACTAAATCAGGTCCCCAAACTGAATCGGGTCTCCAAACTACACAATGTTAAATGAATCGCTCCCCAAATTGAACTATAGCATGTAACGTAGTATTAAATTAACCTTGTCCACTCACTAAATTAGGTCCACCAACTGAATTAGTTCCAAAACTATACAGTGTTACCTGAATCAGGTGTCCAAACTGAATCATATCACCAAACCATACTTTAGTTAACCATAACTAACTAAAGCAGGTCCCCAAACTGAATCAGGTCCCCAAATCACTGTGAACAGGCGAAGGCAGAGCAGTAAAATGCTATTGGCACACAAATCAGTGTTTTATCTGAAAGGTTAGTTGATGTTGGTTGATGTTTTCCTGTGTGTTTGTGTTCGTAGATGATGACGGAGCCCAACGTCCACGCTCTCGCTCTGTTCAGTGTTCTCCGCTCCTCACTGCTGCTCAGCCCAGCTTGGACTACGATCCAGACAGAAGATCCTCAGAGAGCGACTCACACCATGACAGAGCACTCAGCAGGTGTGTGTGTGTGTCCCTGCACATGAAGAAGAGACCATTCAGTGAACCTGTCAGTTCAGGTTCAGCTTTGGCAGTCAGTCTGATTTCTGTGGTCTGCACGCTGTTCACCTTTAATAAACCTCACTGTTTAATTTCGCTTCCCGTTTTAAAATATATGACTTCAACCGTACATGCACTACTGCTGGTGTGGGTTTCTTCACCCTCAAAAACACTACTTGAGGGCTAATAGCACCCCCTTGTGGGGAATCTGAATTACTATGGAAAAAAAATTAATTATCTGTATATTTCAGAAAAAAACACATTTAAATACAAACCTTTTACATGCTGTGTTATTCCAGAGTTAAATAAAAACTTGATTACACATACTAAGACTACGAGTATGTACAGCCCTGCCCTTCTGTGTCCTCTGTTTATCTACTTAAACATATATGTGTTTTAGGCTGGAGTATGAAGTACAGGGACCTGGACATTACTACAGCCCACGCAAGGTTTCCTCAGCTGGCAGCAGTCCATATAAAACTGTCCCCCGGAGACAGGTTGAGAACCACAGCGACAGCCAGAGCCCCATGACCCGCAACGCATACAGCAGCAGCCAACTCGGGTAAAAATACCTGCTGGGAAGAAACACTGTACATAATACAGTTATAAATTATAGATATCACAGATTTCTAACCTCAGTTTAAAGGAATATGTAGGTAAACAAAACATTTTTACCAATTTAGTCGATGTAACCTCAAAAAAAATTTAACTACATGGTGTATTTTGAGGTGAGTGTGTGATGATTTAGGCCTGCAGTTAGCACAGTGCTAATAGGTATACCTATGCTTTCATGACTTGTTAGCTACATTAGCCTTGTAGCTCCAGTGCAAAACTTTAAGGAGCAAACTTCGGACACCTACATGCCGATTCAAGTCAAGTCAAGTCAAAGTTTATTTATATAGCGCTTTTTACAACAGGCGTTGTCACAAAGCAGCTTTGGTAACACTTTACATTAAGGGTCGCTAATCAATCATTAATTATATAATAATTAACTATTAATTTCCTGTTATTTAGTTATTAATTAACTCTTAATTAAGCATTAGCTATTACTTAGTAATTGATTAAGCACTTATCAATTAGTAATTAAGTACACTGTTAGGTCAAGTTAGTTTGTCGTTAGTTTATGTCTTACTTACTCATTATCTGTGCACTAACTGCTGCTTATTACATTGTTAATTAACTAATAAGCATTTTTTTTCTTATAAAGAAGTAACGTGATAACTTACTAGCACTTATGTGTTAATCCCGCTAATTATCTGTTAATTAACTTTCCATCACCTCCATATATTCAGTGGCTTCACTTTTCTCACATTGGTTCTTGTTCATTAAAGATGCTTATGGTCACATCTGACCGTAAGATGAGTGCACACAAATTCACTGACGGTTTTGTTATTCATCACTTTCATCTTGGGCATATCTGTACAAACTAACACCATATCTGGTAGGAGTGCATGTAAATTTGGGCATAAATGCTGGATATGTGGCTAATTAACCAAAACTATTATCAACATAATCTGTAATTGCAAAAATAAGAACAACAATAGAAAATATCACTAATACTAATTTGTTTGCATGACAGTCCAGTACAAAAGTGGATGTACTGACTTTACATGCACATTGATATAAACAAGTACTGCAACTATTTCATGTTCCATTTAAAGACACATTACACTGTGCTTTTGTTTCATACTACTGACTCACAAACACAGCTTGTGTCACACACTGCCATTAGACAGCGTTTATTTTAGGGAATTAATTCCACTAAACAATCACTCTACTATGTTAACAACACTGAGTATTTTGTTTTATTTCACATTTTATTTTTTTCCAGTTGTTGTCATTTTAATACTATTAAGTTTGGTCAGCAGGGGAGGAGTGCACTCACTGCTGGACATCAAACTCCACCCACGAGCACGGCCATTAGCTTTCATGCCAAACACTGCCGTTTTATTGGCTGGCTACTGAAACATCTGCATGAATTAGGGTGTGCTTCATGTAAATGATATGTAAATGATATGTAAATGAACCCCCAGATCTGCACCCTTTATATGACAGGGAAATCTAATTACCAAAGGCTTGACTAAACAAGTAAGTTTTTAGTCTAGTCTTAAAGACTGAGGCTGTGTCTGAGTCCCGAACACTGACTGGAAGATTGTTCTTAAGTTGGGGGGCTTTGTATGAGAGGGCTCTCCCCCCTGATGTAACTTTATTAATTCTACGTACTAACAGTAAGCAGCACCTTGTGATCTAAGTGGGCGTGATGGTTGATAGTATGAGAGAAGTTCATTCAGGTACTGAGGGGCGAGTCCGTTTAGAGCTTTATAGGTCAGGAAAAGAATGTTGTAATCGATGCCAACCAGAGTAGGTTTGATAAAACTGGGCTGATATAGTCAAACTTTCTGGTTCTTATGAGGACTCTGGCTGCAGCATTCTGGACTAACTGAAGCTTGTTAAGGCTTTTGCTGGAACATCCAGACAGCAGGGCATTACAGTAATCCAGCCTTGAGGTAATAAATGCATGAACTAGCGTTACTGCATCCTGTAGAGATAATACTTTTCTTAATTTAGCAATATTACAGAGATGCAGGAAGGCTGTTCTAGAAATATTCGTTACATGTGTGTCGAAGGACAGATCAGGATCTGTGGTGACACCAAGATGTTTTACAGATGAACCTGACGCAACTGAGAAACTATTAAGTTTAAGTGTTAAATCAGACAGTTTGTTTCTAGCAGCTTTTGGACCAAGAAGCAGAACCTCTGTTTTATCTGAGTTAAGTAGGAGAAAGTTACTCGACATCCAGTCTTTTATGTCTTTTATACAGTCCTAAATCTTACTAAGTTGAATTTTATCATCTGGTTTGCTTGATATATATAACTGTGTGTCATCGGCATAGCAGTGGAAACTGATGCTGTGTTTACTGATAATGGTGCCCAGTGGTAGCATATATAATGTGAATAATATAGGCCCTAAAACAAAGCCTTGTGGAACAACATACTTTACTTTTGCGAGGACAGATGATTCACCGTTTACATTAACAAACTGATAGTGAGGTAAGATCTGAACCAGGAAAGAGCTATTCCTGTTACCCCTACAAGGTTTTCTAGTCTATCTAGTAATATAGAGTGGTCTATCGTGTCAAATGCCACACTAAGATCAAGGAGGACTAGCAAAGACACATTTCCTTGGTCAGAGAATAAAAAAAGATCGTTTACAGTTTTCACTAGTGCTATCTCTGTACTATGATGTGGCCTAAAACCAGATTGAAATTTTTCATGTATATGATTCCTATGCAAATAGGAACTTAATTGTTTTGCCACAACTTTTTCCAAGGTCTTTGATATAAAGGGAAGATTCAAGATAAGTCTATAATTTGATAGTCTGCAGGGATCAAGTTTAGCTTTCTTAATCAGTGGTCTAATTACTGCTAGTCTAAGAGTTTTTTGGATATAGCAAAGGCTAAGAGAGGAGTTTATTATTGACAGAATCGGCTTGGTTATTTCTGGCAAAATTTCTTTTAGTAAACCTGTAGGAATCGGATTTAACATGCGTAGAAGATTTTGCGGAGGAAACAATTTTAACTAGTTCACTTTGTTAAAGTAAGGTAACTGATTCCTGCCTCTCTGCAGTAGTTACAATATTCACAAGATCTAGACTGGCATTATAAGGCAGCAAGTTTGTAGAGTTTAACTGTGCATTCTGAATTTTCTGCCTAATTTTTTCAATTTTGTCACTAAAGAAATTCATAAAATCATTGCTGCTATAGGCTAATGGCATCTGCAGTTCAGTACTGAACTATATATTTTATCACACTTTCTTTAATGATCCAAGTTGGAGCACCAAACACTAAAATTTACCAAAGACTTATACAAAAGTTGAACCTAGTCTAAAACAGTTGAAATAGAATGTTTTAAGTATTGAAAACTGTTTTAATCTCTTTATTAATGTTCCTCCTGCAGCTCTGAGGGCCCTCTCAACGGTTTCCGGCACCGCAGTGGCAGCCTGGAGTCCCAATCCCAGCTCCTCCACTATCCTGGATCAGACCGGGCCATTTTCCCCGCATCCCCGACCCGCCGCAGCAACAGCAGTGAAATTCTGGACGACTGTTCATCCTACACCAGCCTGTCCAGCCCGTGTCCATCCACACCTCCGTACCGCACGCTGGACACCCGTACGCACGACTACCGGCAAAACCGCAAGGTTGAAATTTACGGAAACACGGGCAGCATGCCCAACCTGGTGCCCAACAGCTACAGCAGCACTTATAACTACCACCCACATACCCACTATGGGCCCACCGCTTACTATGTAGCCGGCTACCCCACTTCTGACTATGAGCCTTACGCTAACGGTGCTTACATGTACGAAAGTGAACTGGAAGGGCATTATAACGTCAACCCCTCGTACAATGGGCATGTTTACCATGGCAACAGCCGCAACGGGCATTATGGGATGGAGGGAATGGATGGCTTGTCTCAGAATCCCTACGCCACGGTGAGACCGCCGCGGAGCCGGCAGGGGCCCAGAAATGAACTCCTAGCTAAAAGCATGCAGAAAGCTCTGGTGGTGGAGCACCTCAGAGGATGGTACAACCGCAACACAGGGAACCGGGAACATGGGGGGCGGAGCCTATTGTGCAGCTATGACTACGACAGAGGATCCCAGCACAGCCTTGGATACCAAACGCTGCCCGCTCCATTCAGCCGGGCCAGCCGGGCTGACTCATTCTCATCAGGTAACACTCATGCTAATGCCGCACCCACTGCTAAACAAAGCATAAACAATGTTAAAATCAAATTTATACAGCAACAGTTTATCCACAAAGTAGTCGATCAGCCAGGCAGCTATTTCCAGCCATACAAGACCAGATACCGTATTACAGAAACTTCTTAACTCTAAAATCTGATCTGTTTAGTCTCAATAACGACTTCAGTACAGACTGAATTTAGGACAGTAACTATTACAGAATAACAGTTTCTAACTTCAAAATCTTTTCATTAACTCCAGATAAGAACACAGTATTACACAAACATCCTAACTAGACTAAATCTCCTAAATACTGTCCGAACTTCAGGATAAACCCCAACAGTGTCCTAACGTCTGTTTAAGTGTCCGTTTCTATCATTTTTAGGCAGCTGTGTCAGGCTGCATAGTTCACTACTAGTATAATGATGCTACATTTATTTATACTGTAAAACGCTGCTTTCACTGTGAGATGTTTTTCTTTTCTAACTCTGCGTTTTAAAAATCTCCGACACTGCAGACACGATCTCCACCGTCCCCTCTTATTACCTTGGTGTGTTAATGGTGATAAAATATTACAGTGATAAATGAGTGGTAAATAATGAGGAGACAGAGATGAATGTGTATCTGTTTATTAGGAGGAATAACATTAGCACGCTCGGCTGAAGTGTTTGAGAAATAGAGACTGATACTGGGAGCGATGATGCCGCTAAACAGCAGGGGGCGCTCTCACAATATTCACAACTTACAGTTTATCACAGCTTAGTTTTGTTTGACCTTTTTTACACCAGTAACAGCAGCTGTCTGGCTAACTAGCCTGATTATTTTGATGACGTGCTCCAGCTGTGTACATATGGTCCGTTGCTGGGTAGCAGACAGCTGATTGTTGATTATTCAGACTGCAAACAAATCAGATTTGTTTCTCAAATCAGATCTTTTGACACAACTGTCTGCTCTGTTATGTGCAAGTGATCAGATCAGAATTGTGTGTACTTGAGTACTTTAAAAGTAAATACTTTTGAACTTGAGTAAAAATATAAATAAAGGACTTCTACTTCCACTGAAGCACACAGTTTATGGGGGAAAAAAGTGTGTAAATTTGATTCTTCTCTTTGCTTTAACTAAACATTCAAAGCCTGTTACTAGATACAGCTGAATAACTCGCCTAATCATCTGTGAAAAGGTCTGGAAATATATTTATGTTAATCTTTACATCTTTACTCCTGTCTTCATTCCTTTCTCTGTCCTTCTGCTGTAGTGTCCTCCACGGCGAGCGGAGGGGTGAGCTGGCACACTCCTGCAGCGGCGGGGCTGGCTGACAGTGAGCTGGATGGAGATGTGGCCCTGACCCCTCAGCCAACCTGTCCCGGAGGCTACAGCACTAACTACAACCTCAGCCCCTCACACGGCAGGTCAGAGAACAGCAGATTTTTTACGAATTTGATTTTCTCACTTTGATTTGTTTCATTTACGAAAAAAACATCTTGCATGCTTCTTGTTCACTGTTTGCATATATTTGCATTGAAACACAATCGAGAACTCTCCATCAAATCAGTCAGTAAATCACAGTTTAACTTAAACTGTAACTGCGGGAGTAAAAATAGAAGTATAAATAAGAATTATACCGGCAGAAATTTCAATTTGTACCCACTTAAAAAACATTATTGGTATTGGCTTCAAAATTTAATTGGTTGGCACTAGTCTTAAAGGCACAGTGACACTGTAAGGATACAGAAAGGCTGGAAAATGATCATGTAGAAATGAATTATGATTGTTTTTGTACACAAAACCACACAAACATACGTGGAACATAAGTAGACTTTTACATTGTAAAATATGAGCCTGTGAAATATTAGGGCTACACACTTAAAAAAGATGGTTCTTCAAGGGTTCTTTAGTAAGGAATATGGTCCCAAATAGAACCATAAACACTCAAAGAACCCTTTCAATAATTAAAAGGTTCTTTGCATCATGAAAGTGTTCTTCAGATTGGTGGAGAATGTGTTGTAGATGGTTCTATATAGAACCTTTTTAAAACGTTTCTCCTATTGCTACAAGCTTTACGTCATAACAATAGAAGAACCATTTTTGGTGCTATAAAGAACCATACACAACACATCTCTTGAATCTGAAATAATGGAAAGAACCTTTTAATCATACAAAGGGTTCTTTGAGTGTTCATGGTTCTATTTGGGACCATTTTCCTCACTAAAGAACCCTTGAAGAACCATCTTTTTAAGAGTGTATATATATATATATATATATATATATATATATATATATGCTGTATTTTATGTAACAGTGTTTATCTGTATTGTCCCCGTCAAACAAACAAACAGACTTTCCTGTGGTCTTGTTTGCAGGTTCCAGGCTGAATGCAGTCCAGCCAGACGCTCTGATTCCCTCTCGAACCCCTCCGACTCTGTGGAGGTGTTCGGTGCGATGGCCAGCTGCTCCGACTCAGACCATTAGAGAGAAAGCACAATGGGACAGGTGAGCTCAGAATAGGGGGGAGGGGCATTCCAGTCAAATTTGATATTCAATATTCAAATTCAATATTCATTCAACTTTATTCAGAGAATATTAGCTAATTTACTGAATGGACAGGTTTAAATTCTATCACTAACTTAGTGCTCCAAGTTCAGGTCCATCTGAAATACTCAGCAAACTGAAGAATCTTGTATCTCCATTTTTGATGTTTTTCAGTTTTTGACAAAATTTTAAAGTACCTTTACATGGTAAGTAAATTTCATGATGAACGGACTAAAAGAAATGATCCAAAATGACTTTGAAAAAAGTGTGGTTCCGTTGACTTACATTAAAAGTGAAGTAGGTTTTTTCCTTCTCCTGTAAAGTTCTCATTTTGGAGATATAAGGTTTTCTTCCAACAGCAGCGATATATATACATACATTTTGCAGATAAAAAAATCCAGATTTAAGTGAGTGGAGGATGTGTTAACTTACTTTCGCTTAGCAAATTAACAAGAACACAAAATTTCACTTTTGAACATGACAACACCTAAACAACAACAAACAATCATGTTTAATATACCATAAATTTGTTATTATTTAATTTGTCATTTTGAAATTCATGGTTGATTCATGGTTACCCAATGGGTAAAATTAAACTAGGATAAACGTAAAGACTATAAATGTGAAGATTGTGCAACTGCATTTACAGAAACATCTTTGATTCCAGACTTTTTACTCTATTTTTACAGTATTTTTTAATCGTCTCTCAGAGTCCAGGCGGATGCTGAGGTGTTTTCTGTTTCCCAGACGGACCAAAACTAACAGAGGCACAAAACAACCCCGATACGAATGATAAGCACCTGCTCTGATGAAGCTGAAGCTGAAGCGGATCTCAGAGTCTTTACTGTGCCTTGGAAATGGAGTCAGTCAGCGGGTTTCTAACACGACAGCGGAAGCTTGATTGAAAGGACTGATAAAATGAACTGAACCTTAAAGGTGGTTTTGGACCCAGCAGTGCTTACACAGTCATGTAGTCTAAACACTGAACTAAGAGCTTCAGTTTCTCACTGAGAGCAGATTAAATCAGCCAGAGTCACAACTAGTGAATGTCTACACGTATAGTCTAGAGATTTTGTGAGAAATTAAAAAATAACTAGCCATAATACATTAAATTGCCTTTTTTGTACTCCATGTTTTAATCCCATAGCACTGTTTTTTTATTATATTGAATTTCCATGATTGCATTACCAACATCTGCCATCTGCCACCTGTCATCTACCAAAACCTAAAAAAATTATAAATTCGTTTGTAATCAAACTTCGATAGTGACCGTTTCCAGATGTTTTAAATGCACCGGTAAGATTAGAGTTGTTCTGCTGTGGACGAGGAGCCGTTCTCGTGCTCTGATTGATTTTCCCTTTTTTTTAAGCACAAACTGTGCTTTAGCATAATAAAAGTAGACTCAAAAACGCTAAAAATGAGGAGAAAATTAATGTAGACTCCTCTAATCGAGAATGAAAAAGCATGCAAAGTGCCAATATGAAAAGAAACCTCTTAACCCTTAGAAGTCTAGAGTTATTACTGTTATTATTGCTGTACTATTTAAGTGGGGAAAATATCTAATTGCAATTTTTCTGACCAATATTGCAATTTAAATTGAGATTATTTTTCTATTATTTTTTCTATTATTTCTTACTATTTTGGCCAAGACGACCAGCACGTCCACTTTTTCTGGCTTGAGGCTTAAACACAGAACATAGTGTACCAGACGGCCAGTTAGCTCTGGTCGTAATGTCATGGCCCACTTGCTTCTGATTGGTCTCTGGCAGTTCACAAAATCGATTCTTTGGTAGACAATGGTTCTATATAGAATCATGAACTCCCAAGGATCTGTCTGCTTAAATGGTTCTCTGAATGGTGAAATGGTTCTCCAGATTGATGGAGAAAATGTTGTATATGGTTCTATACAGAACCTTTTTGAAAATGGTTCTATATAGGACCAAAAAGAGTTCTTCTCTTGTTACAAGCTTGACATTGTAACAATAGAAGAACCCTGTTTGGTGCTATGTAGAACCATATACAACACATTCTCCATCAATCTGGAGAACCAGTTCACCATGCATAGAACCATTTAAGCATGCAAAGGGTTCTTTGAGTGCTCATGGTTCTATCTAGAACCACTGTCTTTACTAAGGAACCCTTGAAGGACCATCTTTTTTAAGAGTGTACAATTTAAATGTAATGACATAGTTATCTACATTCAGTTTATCAACAGATGTGAGTCTGGACTTCAAAAAAATTGTCAGTTTTCGGTCAGTTTTTTTTTCGTCAAATTCAAATCAGTAAAATATCTTTTCACAAACAAAAATATGAATTTAAAGTTTAGAAACTGCACTTTCCACACATTTCTTCTCTTGTTTTAATGAGCTATGAGTAAAAAACAAAACATAAAAAAGTAACGACAGGCTTTTGTTGTTGCAGATGATAACTGTGATTTCTAAGGGTTATAATTTGCACACAATGAGGAAAAAAACAAAAACTGTGAAATAATAACTCCTCGATTAATATAACAATATTGTTGAGTCTGTCAGCTAATCACGAAAACTGTTGCTAACTTTAAGCTTCATTGTTTCCATGCTGGAATACATGGACTTTTTTTTTATCTGAATGTGTTGCTATGGTTACAGGACGTAGTATTTTTCTGTATTGTTGCTGTGTGTGTTGTGTAGAAGCATGTGGTGTACAGCTCTGTTTTTTTAATGATCTGAATGTGAAGATTGTTCATATCATGTGGACCTGTATCTTTTCATCAAACATTGATATTTGTGCAGTTTTCATGTCCATCTTTACCTGAACAAAATAAACCAAACTCCTCCCCCCTGCAGTTCAGTGGGGTGTGAATAAAACAAGCTGTGTCTAATGTTTTCACTTTTATGTATGTACGGTTAAGATGTAAACAGAGTCATTCAGAGCGGTTTGGTGTGAAACGCTCTGTTCTAGAGTTAGAATTGTTCACAGTCGTGGTGATAGGAACCAGACGTCCACCTCTAAAAGTTCCCTCACAGAAAGGTATTACATGAAATGGTTATGAATTCACTGCTTGAGTGAATTCAATGTCTGAGACATTGTTTTATGATAGTTTTGAGAGGATTTTGGTCTTAAAATCCATTCATGGTGGAGGGATACATAATATGCAGAGTGTTGTGAAGCAAAATCCCCAAAGAAAACTTATTATTTCAGATTTTCCACTCTTTTACCATCATCAACACGCCATATAAAAACTCAGAAGACACTTGTAGGTTCACTGGTGGTTTTGGGTAGTAAATAAAATGACTGTATTTGCACTGTAGGTCTGACTCCACCTTTTGGCAGGCATTACTATATGCCTACATAATAGTTAGTACTCACCACTATCCATTACAGCTATTTAGCACTTTGCATTAACCAGTGTTGGTTAAGGCTATCAGCACTAAACACTATCTACAGTCACCTAAAGATAGTTAGCACTTACCATTATCAACTACCAGTTCAGTCCAGTTACCACTTGGTACTCTCCACTGTTGGTCAAGGCTAGCTCACATTTTGCACAATCCACAATTGGTTAAGGCTAGTTAGCACTCAGCACTACCCACTACTGGTTAAGGCTAGTTAGCACTCAGCACTATCCTTTATTGATTAAGGATAGTTAGCACTTAGCACTATCCACTATTAGTTAAGGCCAATTAGCACATAGAATAGGCATACTATAGGGATACAGTTATGGATATTACAGCCAATTAGGCATAACGACTGTTTTCCAGCTAATGCTATAGCTGCAACCTTACAGATGTAAAGGGCCAACCCCCCTTTATATCTGTGAGGCTGCAGCTATAGCATTAGCTGGAAAACAGTGGTTAGGACTAGCTAAGGCTAGTTAGCACACAACATCATCAACTATCATTTATGGCAGCACTCAGTATCCACTGTTGGTTAAGGCTAGCTCACATTTAGCACTATCAACCATTAGTTAAGGATATATAGCATATAGCACTGCCAACTATTGAGTAGAGCTAGTTAGCACTTTGCTCTATTAACTATTGTTAAGGGCTAATTAGCACTTAGCACTATGGATCAGTTAAGTTATACTATAGCTAATTAGGCTTAGGAACTGTTTTAAAGCTAATGCTAAAGGTGCAGCCTCACAAGTGTAAAGTGGTGTATTAGCTTGTTATGAGAAAATGTTTTTAGGTCAAAATTTGTTTCATTTAAAAATATTAATTGAAAAACATGCATGCATGAACTTTGGGACTAGTAGTGTAGAGTTTGAGGAGACTACCGATATACATACACAGCCGCATTGTCTGTTGTTCTCTATCTGAGGCAAGGCATCTGCGCGTCCACCATGTTGGAAAGGTCAAGATCCGCTTGTAAACAAATACACATGCTGGGATATTCTCATGATTAAATCGGCCATAACTTTATTACTCGACTGATTTTCAGCATTTTTTTGTTATTATCCTCAGAAATTGATTAATTTAGTTTGCACTGTTGACGTACACTGTGACGTGCCTGGCTGAACACAACGCAGCATGTATGTATGTTTATCTATGAAGGAGGCCAATCACTTAATACGCTATATGGCCAAAAGTATATATGGAGTTGCCCCCTTTGCGGCTGTAACAGCCTGTCTTCTGGGAAGCCTTCTACAAAATTTTGGAGTGTGTCTGTTTGAATTTATGTCCATCTGGATGGACGAGAGGGCCTGGCTCACAATCAATGTTCCAGTTCATCCCAGAGGTGTTCAATGGGGTTGAGGTCACTGGAGTTCCCCTACATCAAACTCATCAAACCATGTCTTTATGGAGCTTGCTTTGTGCACAGGGGCTCAGTCATACTGGAACAGGGTCTTCCCTAAACTGCTGACACAAAGCTGAAAGCATATAATTGTGTAAAATGTCTTTGTATGGTGTAGCATTAACATCACCCTTCACTGGATCTAAGGGGCCCCAAACACTGAAAAACAGCCCCAGCCCATTATCCCTCCTCTACCAAACTTTTACTGTTCACACTCTGCATTCCATTAGGTAGTGTTCTCATGGCATCCACCAAACCCAGACTTTTCTATCAGACCGCAGACAGTGAAGCGTGATTCACCTCTCCAGAGAACACATTTCCACTGCTCCAGACTCCAGTGGCAGTGTGCTTTACACCACTCCATCTGACACTTTACATTTTACATAGCGATCTCAGGCTTGTGTGCAGCTGTTCAGCCATGGAGACCCATTTCATGAAGATCCTGATGCACAGCTTTTGTGCTGAGGTTGCTTTCAGAGGCAGTTTGGAACTCTGCACTAAGTGTGTGTGGTCTGCCACTTAGCAGCTGAGTTGTTTTTGCTTCTAGGTGCTTCCATTTCACAATAATAGCACTTACAGTTGACCAGGGCAGAAATTTCAAACTGATTTGTGGCAAAAGTTAATGACAATGCCACATTTAAAGTCACTGAGCCCCTCAGTACAACCCATTCTACTGCCAGTGTTAGTCTAAGGAGAATGCAAGGCTATGTTATTTGTTTTGGCTAAAACATTTACACAATGTCAACAATAGAAAACAGAACAGGACACACATGTAGTGATTTAATTTCTAGAATTATCCATCCATATCATTTGCTCTCTCCTCTTAAAAACTGGTTTACAATGTCTGTGATCATTTTTACAGAAAATAAAACAATCCATAACAATTATTTTCACATATTTTGTGACAAATTATACAAAAGTGAATTTTCTTTGACATACTGTGCCTTCGGTAACGGCGTGAGAATGAATGAGAATTATACTCGAATATAATCTCTCACAAAGCAGTTCATATACTACAATTAAAGTCTTACATACAACACGTAAATGAAAAGTCTCTGCATTTTCACCAAAACACTGGACAATCGCCACTGAAATGACTGGATTTTTCCACTTCTTCACATTCACTTTGGATGTCTGTTACCTGCTGCATAGACAAAATCAAAGGTAAAGTTCACAATAAAATGCATAGAAGATTAGTGCATCCACACAGGCTGTTCATCAGCACACTGATTGTACCGTACGCCAGTCAATGTGGAAGTTAAATGAACTAAAATATTCACACAGTAAGCATGTTCAGGAAGGGGCTGTTCAGACCCCCTCGTCATCAAATAGATATATATTTTAAACATCAATGTAAAGGCTGACATCATTAAAACACCATGCCATGGTGATAGTGAATTTAATTAAAATAGAAACAGTCTGTGTATGTGTATGTACACTGTAGGCCAAAAGTACGGAAGCAAGCAATTTTACAAACTAAGCCTCCAAGCTCCGCCCACATTATTAAACTTAATAAGAAACGATAGAACACGACTTTATATCCAAATACCTACATTAGAGTGACTTATTAAAGGGGAATTATACCGATTTTTCTAATTCTCTGTGTAATTCAGTGGTGAAGATGCAAACAGTCATTCAGAGTGGTTTGGCGTGAAACGCTCTGTTCTAGAGAAACGTACCGAGTCAAAATTGTTTACAGTGGTGGTGATAGGAACCGGACGTCCACCTCTAAAAGCTCCCTCACAGAAAGTTATTACATGAAATGGTTATAAATACACTGCCTGAAGTCTGGGACATTGTTTTATGATAGTTTTGAGAACATTTTGGCCTTAAACTCCATTCATGGTGGAGGGATACACAATATGCAGGGTGCTGCGAGACAAAACAGATGCCCAAAAGAAAACTTATTATTTCAGATTTTCCACTATTTTCCTATCATCAACATTCCATATAAAACTCAGAAGACACGTGTAGGTTCACTGGTGGTTTTGGATAGTAAATAAAATGTCTATATTTGTGTTGTTGTCATGGTGACCCGATTCCTATCACCACCACTTTAAAGAAATCTGAACCATTTCACACCAAAGCACTCTGAATCACTCTACATCTCAAACACTCAATTATGCAGAAATTTAGACTGTCATTTAATTTAAAATGATATGCATGATTTGATCAGGTTTTTTTTTATAGTTGTCTTCTAACATGCCCAGCATCAATTAGCTACAAAACAGTCTGTTGAATTTTTGTGGGCGGAGCTTAGATAGGTCAGTTATGTCTGCTTATTACCTTCAAGTTCACTAAAGCGTTTTTTTCTGCATACAACAGATTAGCACAGACAACAGTTTCCCTGAATTTAGAAAAGAACTTATAACGACAGTAGAAGTCAAGCAGCAGATGCTGAAGCTGAGCAGACAGAGTTTATATTCTTAAACATGAAGGTTTCTAAACTAAACCAAAAGGTTCTTGTATTTTATCTTTTTCCCCCTGAGGTTCATTTATAATGTTAGTCTGGTTTTATGTACCAAAAACAGTTCTAATTCATTTCTACACAACCATTTTCGAACCTCTCTTTATCCTTTACAGTTAAACAGGCTGTTTTTGTTACTGTGCCTTTAAGAGTAGCATATGGAAATGAGCTCTGTGCTGACTGGCTGTCCTCATTCAAATAATAGTCCCGGCTGAAACACTCCTTATAACTTAAGCGTGCGTGGGCGGAGCTAAATTGCTGCATTAATATATGTAAATTAGCTGATTGAGTTTCCATACATGGACTGCATGAACTGAAAAGTCAAAATGTTTTGACATTTTAACAATATTTAGATACCTGATTAAACTATTTCATATCAAAGCAGTAAGGAAAATTCAATTTTCAAAGTTAGGGGCCCTTTAATTCTTCTCAAAACCTTTAAATTATGCAGAGTTTCTTTAAACATTAACAAGACTTTTCATGTTTGCCACCTATTTAAAGTTAATTAATGCCAGGAATTCAACATCTTTAGTGAAATCAACATATTTTCTGTAACACACCAAATTACTGAGATTTACACTGAGCTGCATCACACAGCATCAAAAGATATTATAGCAATTAAAAGTGTTAACATTGTAATAAAACATTTCAAATGTTTTTATTCTAACAAATCAGGATTTGTTGTTTTTTGCCTGGAACAGTCTGTGAAATGTGTACTTGCATTTAAAATCTTTTATAAGAGATATTCTGTGCCTTCACAGTGCAAAACATGGTCAATAAATATGTTCATTGTGTGTAAATTTACAGTAACACACTCTACAGACCTGCATTACTTTTACAGTTGTTAGGTAAAAACACAGAGGATTATTGTATTTTAATTTCAGCTTATTACTGTGTGTACAGAATAACAGCTACAACACAGTAATGCTGTGGTGCAGGTGAGTCTGGAATCACAGTATTCAGCTCATATTTTACTGTTATTTACTGTTAATAAGGCTCAATAAATTACTGTGAAAATAATGCAGCTAGTAGCCAATTATTTACTGTAAATTTACATATTAAAAATTCTTTTACTTTTATCAGACCTGTAAATGTGTTTGTTTTTTATTATTCACCATGTTTTACTCTGCATATTAACAGAAAACAAACATTTTACATAAACATTTTATCTGTGCTTGTAATTTGCACAAACATGACAAAACTCTGACAATAATAATAATAGACAAAATTATCGTCAACACCTCAGGGTCCTAGCATTTAAACATTAAACTAAATAAAAAATAACACACCAAAGCATCAAAAAAAATTGTGCTTACAGAAAATATGTTAAGTTGATTTCATGGTGAAATGATAAATACAATATTTCACTGTGAAAAATTAGTGTTAAATTACTGAGATTAACACTGAGCTAAATATTGTGAAATTCCAGCAATAATTAAGAATGTGGGATTGTAAATGCAATAAAATGAATAAAATGTGGATATTTTAGTGCAGTGACCCAAAGCGTTTGTCTCTTCTGGAGTTCAATAAGTATCAGTTTGGAATATCGATCAAATCTAAACATCCTTTCAATGTTAGTTTTAAAGCATAACTGTCCTTTAAGAGTGTAACTTGAATATTCCTTTAATAAGCACAACTACCTGCCTGTTATCTGTTGTAAATCTCACATGTTCTTGTTCACTATTGTAAATGTTCTGTTGCTTCCAGACTTTTCTCCTGCTGTGTGTGTGTGTGTATCATTAGGCCACCAGTGCATGAGGAGATGATGAGCTCCTCTCTTAGACCACTCAAACATCCAGAGCTACTTTTTTATCCACCAAGACACACACCAGGCAGAGAGAGGAGAGGATTCAGATACTCAAAGGCTGTGATGATTAAATTCAGCCTAGAAAATGTAAAAACAGAGTAATGGCTGATGTCGGCTGTTACACGGGGCTGTATTTCCTCTTTCTGGCGTCCGGCTGTTCCGGCAGAGTGGCCGCCTCCCTCCTGACCGCAGCACGGCCGCCGAACCTCATCTACAAACAACAAAACACACAGGAGGTTTTTACACACCATCACCACAAATCTTAAGTAACTGATTCATAATTGAATCAGTTAAACAGCTCCTCATCAAAGTCACAGCTAACAGTAATCTGTAAACTTCCATAAAATATAGACTTTTTACTACTTACTCTTCAGTGAAACCAACAAAAATAGGTGTTTTATTTCCATAAAATTATATTGTAAAATGTAATTTTCTAGTTGTGATTCTCCAGACTTCTGTACTGTACTGAACTACTGCCTAAGTATAATTAAACACACTATAATAGGATTAATAACAATAACAAACAACAACAACAACAACAACAATACTACTTCTACTATTACTATCACTACTAATAATAATGCAGTGTTTTGCTTACCTCCCCCTCTGCAGCCTCCTGCCGAGCCCTCCTCTGCTCCAGGTTTTGCTATAAAAATGTACAAAAGAAGAAAATGTTGCGTAAAGGTCTGTTGTAAGTTTGGGGACGCCTCGACTACTTTTGAAATTGTTTGATTATTGTTTGTTTGAGACTTTTCAAGTAATGCAAAGATTTTATTTTTCAGTTCTTTATACTGAATTAAGGTATTATTTATATGTATTTCCTCTTTTTCCTTTTATTGCATTTTGTAAAGACATAAAAACACTTTTTTTATTACAATTGTACAAATGCAACTGTAAAAGCTGTTTCTACATCTTTCTCTAAACCTTTACCACCACCATCCACCCAGTCCCTCCCCCTCAAGCTGCTCCTGGGAATCTAACAGAGTTAGATTGTTCAAACGTCTGATGGTTACTATCAGTGTATAAATAATAAATTGAAATATGCACAAATGAATTAACTGACAGAGTTGCAGAGGGGAGGAAAATAAGAGGGTTCGTCTCTCTATTCACACACTGAGGCATCACTGTCCTCTTCAGGTGAAACAGAAAGGTTTGCAATAAAATCAGGAACAGGATTCCAGGTGTATTTGTATTTCTTTATCCACGTTAATTTTCACAAAGCTTTCATTTTACCAGCCAACATGGCTAGTGAAAGCTGTTTAATAACAGTGGGAAAAGTGGAAAATATATTAGTTTGAGGACATTAAAAACACTCGCAGAACTGATATGCAGCTTTCACACCGCTTAGAAATGATGACTCAGCTATCCTCATCTACAGCCGTCCGTGGCCGGGAGTCCAGTTTGAAAAGACAGTGGAGCTCCACAAGTCTCGGAGGAAGCCTGTGTTCACTTTCACCCTCCTAGCACTTGTGGTATTGTGTGATTGGGGGAGTCCTAACTAGTGAGTGGAAATGGATACGACTAAATTGGGGGGAGGAGAAATGATGCCTTAGTGTTTGAGTGCTGATGAGCACTGACATCACAAAAAGGGGATAAACTGTGTGGTCTCTGGCTTTATTCTCAAGCTAGAGCTTTAAAGTTCTTTTAATTTTGCTGTTTTTCGCAAAGACAAATGTCCTTAACAGCTTAATCTTTGATATGGTGCGTTACTGCAAACGAGGGGCCGAAAGATACGAACATTTAGTGGCCGATACAGATTTTAAGGGGCTAAAAATTCAGATAACCGATAACATTGGTTGTTCTTAAACCAATAATGAAAACTGACAGTCTAAAATATATATTATAAAACTATAACATTATAGTACTGGGGCAGAGCCACCCAGAATAGAATCGTTTGTGGTTTTGATTTTTGTTAATTGTCTCTAATTTTCATCTGTTCTTTCTATTGGTTTTTTGTTACAATATTATTCTGACTGTTTGTTATTTTAACCATGATGATGTTTTGTGTTCAAATTCTCCTGTTTAGTTTGTGTTACTGTTACATATAGTCCAAAACTTTGGGCACACAGGTCAAATTCCATGTTTTGTTGATTTTCTAAGTAACACATCCTCTACATAAAATATAAAATGTAAAATGTCATAACTTTTTCCCAATATATTAAATTCAGTAAATTAACAGCTACTATGCATTAAAATGTACACAAGTGTGCTCTCCAAAGAGGCTGTGTCAACCTATTTACACCTACAAAATCAACAAAAAACTTTGACCAGAGGAGCCCAAACATTTGTACAAGCTGAACAGGAGGGACTCATATTGGCTGCAAAGTTGAACAAGAGTTTGAAATTTTTCTTTGGGAGATCACAAATGTGAAAAAAGGCAGTGATCATCAGCAATAGTTGCTAATACTGATAAAAGCACAGTATCAGGTGATACCTTATGGAGCTCAGAGAGCTGCTGGTGTCTCAGTAAAGCTTCTTTGCTGGGAAACTGTCTCCTGCACAGTAAACAGGCCAGTTTAGTCCAGTCGGTCAGTTTCTCCTCCCTTTCCGCTCCCTCCTCCTCGCTGTCCGTCTCTCCTCTGTACGCTGCTACCAAACTCTGAGGAGGACTCCTCTAAACGCAGGAGGAAGAACAGAACAATGATACAGGGAATTGTGTTACACAGTTTTATATACTCAACACTCGTACTTGGTGATGATGGCACATTTACTTTGAGGCCCACATACACAATATGGACAAAAGTATTGGGACACACCTCTTAATCACTGAATTCCGGTGTTTCATTCAGTCTCATTGCCACAGATAAAATCAAGCACCTAGCCATGCAGTCTGCCTTCACACACATTTGTGAAAGAATTTGTCATTCTAAAGAGTTAATTCAAGCGTGGTGCTGTAATAGGATGCCACCGTTGCAATAAGTCAGTTCGTGAAATTTCTTCCCTCCTAGATATTCCACGGTCAACTGTGAGTGATATTATTGAAAGTGGAAGCGTTTAGGAACCACAGCAACTCAGCCACGAAGCGTCAGACAACGTAAAGTTACAGGGCGAGTGCTGAGGAGCATAGTGCATAAAAGTCACCAACGCTCTGCTGACTCAATAACTGCAGAGTTCAAACCTCCTCTGGCATCAACATCAGCACTAAAACTGTGTACTGGGAGCTTCAAGGCATGAGTTTCTGTGGCTGAGCAGCAATGCAAGCCTTACATCACCAAGCACAATGCTGAGTGTCGAATGGAGTGGTGCAAAGCATGCTGCCACTGGACTCACTGGACTGGCCACTGGAGCAGTGGAAACGCATTCTCTGAAGTGACAAATCATGCTTCTCTATCTAACAGTTTGATGGGCGAGTCTGAGTTTGGTGAATGCCAAGAGAACATGACCTGCCTGACTGCACTGTGCCAACTGTAAAGTTTGGTGGAGGAGGGATAATGCTATGGGGTTGTTTTTCAGGGGTTGGTCTAGGCCCCTTAGTTCCAGTGAAGGGAAATCTTAATGCTTCAGCAGACCAAGACACTTTGAACAATTGTATGCTTCCAACTTTTGGAACAGTTTGGGGAAGACCCTTATCTGTTCTAGCATGACTGTGTCCCAGTGTACAAAGCAAGGTCCATAAAGGCATGACTGGGTGAGTTTGATGTGGAAGAGCTTGACTGGCCCTCACAGAGCCCTGACCTCAACCACATCGAACACCTTTGAGATGAACTAGAACGGAAATTGTGAGCCAGGCCCTCTCGTCCAACATCAGTGTCTGACCTCACAAATGCTTTTCTGGATGAACGGGCAAAAATTTTTACAGACACACTCCAAAATCTTGTAGGAAGCTTCCCAGAAGAGTGGAAGCTGTTATAGCTGCAAAGGGGGACCAACTCTATATTTATGCCTATGGATTCAGAACGGGATGTCATTAAAAGTTCCTGTGTACGTGTAGGTGTCCCAATACTTTTGTCCATGTAATGTATAACATTTGTGTATCTTTTTTTACCTAATTCATTTTAACATAAGCATTTTATAATTAAACAGGCTGTTTTTGTTACTGGGTCTTTAAGACTGATGTGTGTAAATGTTTTTATTGGCTGTGTCTCAAAAAAACAGCCCTGGTTGAACACTCCTTATAACATCAGTGTGAATGGGCAGAGCTAAACCTCAGTAGGCTGACTAGGTGAATATTTGTAAAAGGGACTGGTACTTGTGACTTTACAAAGGCCATGATTTCAAAATCAGCTGTTTTTGCAGCTTAGCTTCCATATATGGGCTATATGGACTGGGAAGTGAAACTTTAACAGTGTTTACACACTATATCACTCTAATTTCACCAACATATGGGCCCTTTAAACTAGATAAGCCAATGTTAGCCTGACTGAGTGATAGAATTAACACACCTCTCTCTCCTCAGGATGCTTTATCTGGTCAATCAGAATTTGTGGTCGTTCTGACAAGGCCCCCTGGAAAACAAACCACAAAAAAAAAACATTTAAATAAAAAACACAATTAAATACACAATTAAATCCACAAACACAACGATAACACTCACACCTCAATAAACACTTCTATCTAACACGACTTCCTTCCTCAAGGGGAACTTTGAGGAATTTCTGCATAATTAAATGGTTAACATGTCATCAAAATAGCGATTCGGTGTGAAATGCTTTGTTGTAGACAAACCTACAGTCAGAACTGAATGACTGAATGAATGACTTTGTTTACATCTCAACCACTGAATTTTTTGAAAAATCAATGGAATTCCCCTTTAAGAATGTGAATGTGATTTCATCAGTTTTATTAAACTTCAAGCAAAAGCAAACACTGCAAACAAAAAACAAGACGTAAATGGCACCAGAGAGACGAGCTAAAACGTGACAGCTTTTATATCAACGACAAGAATAGAAACCACCTACACACACTACACACTAATGATAAGGTGGGGCTATATAGGAGAGGGTGGCGCCATCAATAAGACACTGTGACATCACTTTAGATCAAGGGCTGCAAGTAACTACGTTAAGACTACATTCACATTACAAGCTTCATTGCTCAAATCCGATCTCTCTGACATGATGGTTCACACTCGTTTAGGTAAGTGATTCAAATCTGTCATTAATGTGAATGAACTGGCATCCTAAAATAACCTGCATGCACATATCATACTCAGTAACGCCACGTGAATGAATCATGTGCGTTACATGCTTCAGTAGCAAACAAACTAATGAGCAGAACGAGCCTTCGCTGCGAAAATAATTAACTCTGAACAGCTCTCAGCTGTTCATTATTAGAATGAGACGAAGGCAAAAAAGGTGAGATGTGTTACTTTCCACCGTTTACAGGCTTTAACTTTTGTTTGGTGCTGTTGTCATGGTGATGCTGAATGGAATGCACACACAGTGGGGACACGAGTTCCGATCTGAGCGTTCACATTAAGATCACATGGCCACGAATCGGATACGTAACCAATCTAGGACCACATATGAAAGTGGCTCAGGTCGGATTTGAAAAGATCAGATTTGCGTGTCCACACAGCCCTGAAAACATCAGATCTGAAAAAATTGGTTTTGTGCCACTTCAACCTGGTAATGCGAACGTAGCCTTAGAGGTCATTTTTACACCTGATCAAGTAATGGTTCATAAGTGTTTTGGTTATGACTCATGGATGCAACATTCCATTTACAAGTCTTGTGCTGCCATTGTGTGTCTGTCACCATTTCTCCTGGTTTTAAAGCAGGGAGAGAGGTTAGCTGTTTGTATTTTTGTTCGTTTTGCTTTCAGGTTTAGTTAGTTTTTACAGCACTAGTAGTTTTGTTTGTTATTTTGGCATATGCTCACTGTCTGGTCTGGCAGCAGTTCAGGGGTAAGAGCCCACTCTCATTTTCGGTTATGGCCTGACCCTACAACTTAAGAAATAAAGGTATGAATCTGTCACTGGGGTGGAACCTTCAAGCGTACATACTCCAGGCTTTTTATTTTGTTGATCTGTTTTAAAACATTAGATTATGAAAAGGTACAAATGTGTACTTTTCACCTGGAAAAACCTTATTTAAGGTGCACAATTGGACCTTAAAACTACTGTTGTACCTCTGAGGTAACATTTATATTGTTTGTACCTTGATGAATGAAAATGTACCTGCACAAAACCTTTATGTCTAACAGTGTTGACCGGGTCGTAACAGAATATGAGAGGTTTGGTAACACTTGTTCATAGTAATTAATGACAAATACATCATTAATTCTCACTTAGTTAATTATGGAGTAGTACCTATTTGATGCTTTACAAACTATTGTTATTATATGTTACCAACGCAGCTCTAAACACAAATGTCTCAGAACGCTCCACCTTTTTCTCCAGGATGGCGTATCCGGCGTCAGCGCTGGCCGATTCTCGCCGGTCCTCGGGCCGTCGTGCGTTTGTGGAAGCGGAGGAGGAGCGCACGTTCTCCTTCTGCCGGTTCAGGCTTTTAGCCCAGCGCTCCATGTCTTTCGCTATCTAAAAACAAAAGGAAAGAACAGCCGCAGTGGACAGATCAGCAAATTAAAGAGGTGTCTGTGATGGCACACCTTTAGCTTATAAATATCATTTTGTTTGAAAACTAAAGAAAAATATTGTCCCCATCATCAGGAGGTTGTAGGGTCAGTCCTCTGTGATGCCACAGCCATCCGTAACCAGGAATACAAGAGATCATAACTGTCCTCTCTTTCTCGAAGAATAGGATGGTCCTCCTTTTCCCCCCATCACTGATTTAATTTAATGAAGGACTGATTAGATAAACTAAATATTGGTTGGTAATTGTAAATACTGGATTTCCTCCAGGAGAGCTCTGGAAATGGTTAACTTCACTCACTCACAGAACAATCACAATGGATTGTTTATCTGTTTATTTCTTTTAATCTAAGCTCAGTGCCTGGATAACCGGCTTTACTAAAGGCTTGAACGTGAATTATTAGTCTAAATTATTGTATAACTGATAATACCTTGCACACCAAACACAATTTTTTGCAATAAAACATCTTTTTATTCACCCTCTGCTTGATTTTTGTGAACTTTTGCTGGTGACATGAACTCAGTGATCAATCACGGTTGTCTCTGGAGTTGGCATAACGATAACCAAGCTGACGAATTGGCTGGAACTGGAACATTTTTTCAAAATATTAGAATCGCCAAAAGCAGCTCAAACTAAGCTCAGAGTTTCAGCTTCTGAAAGAAACAATCAAGCTCTAAACGCTACTTTCACTTTTGCAAAATGACACTAGAGTCACTAGAGCAAAGAACTGGATCTTATTTGCACTTGAAAACATTCTGCCCGTTTGTTTTGTGCTTCGTCTTGCGTGGATCTGGATCTCCAAAATCAGCCCAAACTGAGTTAGGAAGACCCGGACTATGAGTAAAAGAGTTTGTGAAGTTTAAGCCCCTGGAGTGGTATTACAGAAACGTCTTAAGTGAAATCTGATCTGTTTGGTCACTATGACGACTTCAGTACAGACTGAATTTAGGACAGTAGCTATTACAGAATAACAGTTTATAACTTCATAATCTTATCATTAACTCCAGATAAGAAAAAAGTATTACACAAACATCCTGACAAGATTAAATCTCCTAAATACTGTCCTAACTTCAGGATAAACCCCAACAGTGTCCTAACTTCTGTTTAGGCGTCCATTTCTATCGCAGCTGTGTCAGGCAGCAAAGTTCACTACTAGCATAATGACGCTACATGTTAATGCTGATAAAATATTACAGTGATGGTGGTGAATAATGCGGAGACAGAGCTGAACATGTGTCTGTTTATTAGGAGGACTAAAGTTAATGCGTTTGGCTAAAGCACTTGGGAAATGGAGACAAACTGGGAGCGTTAACGCTCTGATAAACAGCAGGGGGCGCTCTTACAATATTCACAACTTACAGTTTATCACACTTTTAGTTTTGTTTGACCTTTTTTACATCAGTAACAGCAGCTGTCTGGCTAACTAACTTATTAAGTTTGATGACGTGTTTACGTTTCAGCTGTGTGTGTATGGTTGGTTGCTAGGTAACAGACATGACAGCTGATTGTCGACTTTGATCAAGTAGTTTAAGATTTCTTAACTGGAGATAAGATGCTGTAAGATAAGATAAAATTCTTAAATTAAGATAAGATTTGCTTCTGTAACATAAATTTTTGAAAAATCTTATCTTGACCTGTCAGATCTTAACTTGGGACAAAAAGAGAGGACGTTTCTGTAATGCGGCCCCTGACCTGAGGCAGAGAAACCCTCCATTCTCCTTGCTCTTTTCTAAAGCATCCTTCACAAAGACACAGTTTGCCTATTTCAGTTTTCTTTTCTATGTCCTGTGAATAAAATGGTGAAATTCCAAAAAAAATCACATTACGTCAGGTGTGTGTAGATTTGATAGCAAAAAATGTTTTTGCATTTTCATGCCATTTATTTGCGTCATGCTAAGCGTGTATCAGTCTTTAGACTGTACATTCAGTGACTGGTTCTGTACATTTATGTGTAATTTCTGTCCAGATTGTCTCCAGACCTGTACCTGCTGGGCTGTTTTGGTTTTGGGTTTGTCCTTCTTGTCCTTGCTGCCCAGAGCTGAGGGGTCAGAGCTTGTTGCCATGGCAGCGTCAGTCAAGGCCTGTGTGGAAGCCGGGATGTACATGTGCTTTTCTCCATCCCAGTACATATATTGCTGAGTGTGGGGGTTATAAAAATACTGCAGGAAAAGACAACACGTGGAGAAGATTAAGGGGCCCATATCATACATTTTTCCCCTTGGGGTCCACCTATAACGCCTGCATTTTATCCAACAAAAACAGACATAATTCCTTGAGACATAACATTTTTCCAACCATCTCGTTGACTGTTTCTGTTACTGTGCTCAGTTCTGAAACATTGTCTTAAAAGTTCAGTGTGAGTGAGTGGGGCTAAACTCCTCTAGGCTGAATATATGTATGATATATGTAAATGCGTCTGTGTTTGTGACATCACAAAAACAATTAATTCAAAATGAGATCTTTGTGTGCTTTAGAGTGTTTTCACACATGAACCATTTCCACGTCTGAAGTAGTCATGGTTTTCTGTGCATATGTGAACACATCAAACAAACTCAAACCAGACCAGTAAGGATAATTTATAATGTACTCAGGTTAAAGCCTGCCCTTAATATTGTGACAGGACAGCAGCGGTAAGATATTAAAGCAATAAGGTGTGCAAGTCTGTGTTTTTTTTTTTACTGAAAATTCACTGCTGCCCTTCAGATACATTATTTTCAGTGCAGACACAAATTTCTGCTGCTGGGTGGAGCTCAGTGATGAGCACAGTGGAAATCAGAACCCACTGTGGTGGACACGCAGGGTCATTTTGCAATTTTGCGCAATTTGCTTTGGCCAATCATTTCAGCGTGGCCAATAGGAGAGCAGCAGGCATGTCTGGTGGTTCCTCTCACCACCCAACAGGTTCGTTTTATCAGAGGACGCTGCCCACTTCGCGAGCACTACGCACACCATGAGTGGTGTGAAAGGGGTCTGAAAGGACCAGAAAGAAAACTTTATATAGTCTCTTTATAGTTCACTTACATTGTGAACACAAAATCACTGCTGTCATTCGCAGCTGGTTCCCTTTCAGCTTCATTTTAGGTAAATTTTTTTTGGTTGATTTAAAAAGAGCTATATATGTGAAAACAACCTTAGTTGCCAAATATGGAGGTACAGACTGGATGTTCGTGACATGGGACCTTTAACAGTTGCATACTCAGGTTTGTACCTAACAGCATGCAAAAAGGTGGCTGTTTTTACTAGTCACTATTTTTGTTTATTAATTAAATTTGACTGTTTTTTAATAAGCTTCTATTTTTTGTGGAGTAAAGAAAAAAAAATATGCCAAAACTTTAACTGGACTGACAGCAGGGCACATGTCTATCATATCGCTCTGTTTGATCTGTAAATACAGCCGAATGGAGGAAAACAAATGAGTGAAACAATTACATAATGCAGAATTCTTAGATAGGAGAAAGACATTTTTCCTTATTTTGTACTCTGTATGGACCATTAAAGGTGTAATGCTGGTACCTGTGAGTTGGGGTCATAGTAGAGGCCAGTGAGAGGGTCATAGTAATAACCTGAGCTTTCATCATACTGATATGTAGAAACATCAGGATCAGCTGAAGGAGGAAAACAAACAGTTCTCATGTTAATTAATTAACATTAATTAATGCATTCCCTGTAAATGAAATGTTTAGTTTACACACAGTGGTGGAAGCTTCTTTTAAAGATATTTTGATGTTTGAGATGTAAACAAAATCATTCAGATTGGATTTAGTGTGAACTGTTCACAGTGGTGGTAAAAGGAACCAGATGTCCTCCTCTAAAAGCTCCCTCACAAATGGTTATGAATATGCTGTCTGATGTCTGAGACATTGTTTTATGATAGTTTTGAGAAGGTTTTGGCCTTAAAATCTATTCATGGTGGAGGAACACATAATATGTAGTGTGTTGTGAGGCAAAATAGTCCCCAAAGAAAACTTACTATTTCAGATTTTCCACAATTTTTCCTTCAACATTCCATATAAAACTCAGAAGACATGTGTGGGTTCACTGGTGGTTTTGGATAGTAAATAAAATGGCTATATTTGTGTTGTAGTCATGGTGACCCCTAGTTCCTATCACCACCACAGTAAAGAACTCTGAGTCTCTACAATCAACTATTTTACACCAAACCACTCTGGCTCTGTTCCTGCTTGTTTTTAAACAAGCTATATTAGGATTAAAGACTACGGTTTAAACGAGTGCCCCTTTTTCTGAATATGTGTGACAATATCACCTCGTCTACCTGGATTTTTTAACAAAGACAAATATCGCCTAGATATACCTTATTCTAAACCATGTTCAGTAGACAGGAATGAATAAGTAAAACATATTTTAAGTGCTGAAATCATTTGTAAACCTTTCAGCTCATAGGATGGAATGTGGCAAATGCTGAACACTGAACACTGTTAGAAATAAAGGTTCTAAGCAGGTACATTTTTCATTCATCAAGGTACAAACAATGTAAATGTTCCCTCAAAAGGTACAACAGTGGTTTTTAGGTCCAACTGTGCACCTTAAATAAGGTTTTCCAGGTGAAAAGTACATATTTGTACATTTTCATAACCTAAACTTTTAAAACAGAACAATAAAATAATAAGCCTGAAGAAAAGACGGGGTGTGTGGAGTCAATACAACTTAGAAAATATAATTTCAATGGATTATGGTACAATTATGTTGCCTAACTAAAGGTTCTGAGATGTACCCTTGAGAAGGAAGGTACGGTACATGAATTTCACAAAAATAAGGGTTAATAACAAATAAGGCTTTCCAAATTATAATTTTAAAATGTACTAAAAAAATATGTTTTGCATTTTTTTATCTGCAAGAATCTATTCAATGCGTTGATATTTATTTTATAGCATTTATAATGATATAAATTCATTTTAGCACTGTCAACAATGTCAGGTGGTGCAATAATAAAAAACATTTTATATTACAGTTATTTACCACAACTGAAAATGTGAATAAACTAGTCTTTGTACTTGGACCCTTGTATAAACCTGTTCTAGGACAGCTTTATATGAAGTTTACACATCTTTTTTTCCCAAATGATTTTGTTTTGGAGTCATCTTTATGGTGCAACACGTGGTCCACTCATTCTTAAAAGCATGTCAGGGTAAAAGTCCTTTGTTATCGGTTGTGCTGCGTCACATTTTAGGAAAACAGAATTCCACTGACTGTTATAGCTGCCTAATTCGAAACAAGTTATTTTAAAGGTTTAAAACCTAAAATCATGCCAAACTACCACCTGACATTTTCAGATTTTGGGTGGTGTAATTGCTGAAATATGAATTTTGGTTTGAATTCCCGAAAATAAAGGAAGGAGAAAAAAACAGATGCATACAAAAGTTTTGTCAACCCTGGCCAAATTACATATTTTATTCATTTTTGAAAAGAACCGAACACAACCTCTGCAGCAAACAATTTCAATAATAACATTTTTCCACAAATGTTAAGACAGTTGCTTTATATTTGATAAACACCAACAGTGGATGATCTCACACCTTGCAAATGTTTTTTGTATTTCTTAATGACATTTCAGTCAGTGGAAATTGCACTTTCATATTTTAACAGTGTTCTCCTGCTTTGAAGACATCAATTAGCATCATTATCAGATCTAATAACTTGTCCTATTTTTAAGTCCATCAAATGAACTGTGTATTAATATTTGAATTTTTTTTTCTCTTATATAAGCAATGTAAATATAAAACAGTAACTCACGATACTGCTGTCGCTCAAACGCTGTTCCTGGTGTGGCTGGCTGTGGTTTTCCAACAATTTCAACCTGCGGAGTTACTGTAGCCTATACACACACACACACACACACACACACACACACACACACACACACACACACACACAACAAAAAACAACACACATTGTTCAGCCAAAACATAACACAGCCCCCCACCCCAAATTACCACAAATATAATCAATCAGCCAAGACATGTTTGGTGTCTGAAGTTTGCTTCTTTAGCTTTAGCACTGGAGCTTTGAGGCTAATGTAGCTAACAAGTAATGGAAGTTTATGTACACCAAATAGCACAGTACTAAGCGCATGCCTGAATCATCACATGCTTACCTCACTGTGCGAAGTGTTAATTAATCTCTAACAGACTTGCTTAAAGTCTGAACACTCCCAGTCAAATTACATATTCTAAATAATTTTCAATTTTCAATTCAATGTATAGGGAACAAATTAAAAATGGCATATCTCCACAAATTCTAGTGCACAATTTGAATTTACTTGCTGAGTTTAACATACTGGGAACAATAATGCATAACTTTTGCACAGGCAATTTTTTTTTCCCTCAGTATGTTAAATTCAGTAAATAACTGCATTGAAATGTGCAGAAGTGTGTCTCTGTAGAGTATATGTTAACTTATTTACACTCATTTATCCTTAGACAATTAACAAAACACGGAATTTAACCAGGGCGCACAAACCTTTGCATATGACCGTATGTGGTTTCTGACACTGTATAACCGGCTGCATTCATGTATTACTTAATGCAATATTGAAGTGAACAGTGCGGCTCTGTCATGTCATCAGAAAAGTCGGAGCAAAATTTGATGGAGAAAATACTGTTGATATGAATGATAAGAGGTAAATTATGGGTGGGGCTAAACTGCTGTAGGCTGAATAGGCAGGGCTAAACTGCTATAGGCTGAATGGCTGGGGCTAAACTGCCGTAGGCTGAATAAGCGGGGCTAAACTGCTGTAGGCTGATTAGGTGGGGCTAAACTGCTGTAGGCTGATTAGGTGGGGCTAAACTGCTGTAGGCTGAATGGGTGGGGCTAAACTGCTGTAGGCTGAATGGGTGGGGCTAAACTGCTGTAGGCTGAATAGTTGGGGCTAAACTGCTGCAAGCTGAATGGGCGGGGCTAAACTGCTATAGGCTGAATGGGCGGGGCTAAACTGCTGTAGGCTGAATGGGTGAACCTTAACTGCTGTAGACTGAATGGGCGTGGTTAAACTGCTGTAGACTGAATAGATGGGGCTAAACTGCTGAAGGCTGAACGGGTGGGGCTTAACTGGTGTAGGCTGAATAGGCAGATATATGTATCACAAAAACAGTGAATTCAAAACAGGATGTTTTGGTTTAATTTCAATATACGGGCTATATAGCCTGTACATACTGGGAAGCAAATGGTACATTTTTACACTTTAACAATGTTTACATATTACTTCAAAATTTAAAAATAAAAGTGCGGAAAATATGGTTTTCTACGCTATGAACTTTGAACAACATGTAGTAGAGTTGGCTTAGCACTTTTTCCAGCACTATTAGTTAAACAACGGGCTGTAGACGTATAACTCTTCTTACAAACATGATACAGTTTACAAAGCCGACACAAACTAAACCAAACTAAATTCATTTCAACATGTATGCGTTTTTGGAATGTGGCTAAAACAAGAAACCTGTGGAGCTTGATTTCTCCTCTCTCTCAAAAATAAAAGCTTGAAGTGCTGTTTATCTGAAGGGGGCACCTTTGATGGGTTACCAGGTTTTCCAGGTGGTTGTTAGGACAACCTCTTTTGACTTTCTTCTTCCTCATGCAAGTGGATTGTTTTACATCTTATCTAATGTTTGGAATAAAAATGAAATGAATAAAAGGGGGGTCTCTGACTTTTGCACAGTACTGTAGGTGTGTGTACCTGGCTGGGCTGTGTCGTGGTGACAGTTTGCGAGGGTGTCTGGGCGAGAGCAGCTGAAGAAGTGACCCCGCCATCTTCAGTCACTGTTGGGACCACTGCAGCTGCAACACAAACACATTTTAAAAACATGCCCTACCAGTCTAAAGTACAAACTACTATACATAACAGTTACTCACGATTCTATTTTATAGATGTCTAATGTCTGATCTTTCAATGAAATAATAAAAAAACCCTGTGCAGGTTTAGTTCAGGATGAATCAGCTCTGCGCTGATGCTTTGTGTATGTTTATCTTATACACTCAGGTCCATGTTCATGAAAGTTTCTTCTTAGCATGAAGAGCAGGTTTCAATAATGTTTTTTTTTTTCCTTTTTAACCCCTGAAATGGCCAGGGTCCAAAGTTTTATTACACACTTCTATAACCTAAGAATTGCTCAACCAGTTTGGACTGAAGTCCCTGTAGTTACTGAATAATAAGCCTTAGTATGTAATATGCCTGAGATTTTAAGGGGTTAAACTATTGTTAAAAGCTCAACTTGAAATTCTTTTGGTCTAAAAGTGGTTTAGTTTAAACAAAATGATGCTAAAGAATAAAGATGAATGTCCACTCACAGTTCTGACCACTACGGTTGTCATCAGGCAAAACACCCATGTAAAAAGAGCAAGTTTATAAATAGGCCAAATAGTGACATAAAATTATCTGCCCGTCAACAGCCACATGACTGAGAACATACAAAGTAGAATCAAAACTTCTGCATATAATAAATACAATAATCATCAAAAAGTCATAATTCAAGAAATTACACAATAAATATAATTTACACCCTAGACCTCTGGAGCTCTGGAGCCACATGCATCTCTTGTACTGCCCTCTTGTGGCTCCACAGAATTAGATTTGGGTAAAAATAAAACAATCCTCCTTTGTAGTAAAATAAAGACTTGGTGAGCCGTCTAACACACGGTTCTAACAAGGTTTTAACAATAGGCTAAATGCTGGAATATATTTATAAATGGTCTTAAACGCTGGAGTTAATGTATAACGGCTAATTCACTCTTTAAGTCTAGAGATCAGCGCAGACTGTGGGTCACTATAGCAACACAGACAACAATCTCGTCACTAGTTACTTGCAACCAAGCAGGGCACCAAACTGTGCGATTTAAATAAAAAGCCCATTATAAAAAGGGCTTAAGATCGAATTTTTTAAGTACATATGGTAACATGGTATGAAAGATATATATCCAAACTGTTTTTTATATTGTCTACATATTGATGTTTTTTTCGGACCTCAGTCCACCATAAATATCTGCAAAGTTTGAGCACCGCTCTAAAGAAACCCACTTAGGTTTTAATATATTAAGGTTTTTTTAAAACCAATAAAAAAAGAAGCTTTAGAAGATGCAATTTTTATTAAAAACACTGAAAAGTTGAAATGTCCCTAAACTTGACGTACAGAGTATGTTCTATAAGTTTTTTTACTGAATGCATGTTAGCATTCATACAAATTTTCCTCCATCTCTCACCTGTAGCCCCGCCCCCTCCCTCATAGGCCCCCATTATCCCCGGGGCGGATGAGGTCAAGTCCGTTCTCACAGCGCCAGGCCCTTTAAAGCCCTCAGGGCTGCCCACATCTGGACCCTCCTGCACAAACAAAGCTGCTGCCCCCTGCTGGTACGCACTCGTATCGCCTCCCGGGGCTCCTGCAGAGAGCTGCTGGGCTGTCTGGTGGAAGAGAGGGGGGATGTTAACACTTTGAAGTGGAAGTTCCCAAAATTTTCACCAAATGTAGTCGAAGACATGTTTCGCTGGAACAAGGCTAATATAAATAATAAGTAATTGAAGCTTATACACCACTGTACTGGATTATACCAGTGCACTACAACAGACTGTAGACTAAAAGTATGTTCACGTAATTTAACCCTATGTAGTCTGAGGTCGTTCTCTCGATTTGTGCATATCTTCTTAAATTCTCCTTTAAAGGCTCTTCATATAACATGATACTCATATGTTTCATATCAAAATGCTCCGTTATCTTCATCACTACTTTCCAAAACCGCTGCAGCAACTTTAGCAGCTGTAAACTCTCTGCACGGCATTTCACATGAGTCTCCGATGTGGTCTAAATGAAGAATGAAGGGTTTCCGGTGTGATGGGTCAGTCCTTAGTGATTTCCAGTAGTGTCCACTAGTGGGTTTCACACAAAATGTAGACGGACACACGAATCCACCAGTTCCACATGGTGAGAGGCAGATGACGTGCATCTCAGCTCCTTTTCATAGCCTCATAACTCCAAACGTGAGTCACGTATGATCTCGTGAAAAGATGGAATGGAAAAGGCGACTCTACAGATTCAGGAAATGTTTGAACTGTATTTCTGTGCTGGATTATCACAGAGATACAGAAACAGATATACAAACATCAAATTTGATGTTTTTTTCTCACCCATTCGTTTCCCCTAATTTTGTCATTGCCAGTGGGAAGATGCATGTGAGAAGCAGATGCTCTGAGAATCTGCGAATCTGAGAATGTCAGCTTTTGACAGTGTCAACTATTTTTGTCATGAGGCTTGATGGTGTGGTTTGGTTTGCCTCGGACAGAAAATCAGTTTGTATTCAAGTTCAGACCAAAATTTCAGGAGCGAAAAAAAGCTCTAGTAGGAATGTGAACTTGCTTCCTTTTCATTTCTTACAGCATATTTTCAATATGTTGGTGCAAAATGTCATTTTGAACTGAAATTTCTTTACTCTTCCTGCTTTGTAAATATCAGCACTGAGCGCAGGAAATCATTATAGATTGACCACCCGCTGTACTGTGTATGTTTATACCTGAGATACGGCCCACTGAGCTGCAGCAATCGCTGTACTGGCCACTGTAGCAGCACTAACACGACTGCCATCAGTCAGAAACACATCACTGAGAGAGAGAAAAAGAGAAAGTAAGATTATTATTATGTTCTTACACATCATTATATCAGACCAAGACAATATGTTATATTATATATTATTAAACTGATATTTCCGGTTGTAAAATCTGATTGGCTGAGCCGCATTTGAGGCTGTTGTGAAATAGACAATATACGCACACCGACTGCCTTATAACAACCAAACTCTGTCCTTGTGCTGTTAATGGAATAATCTTTGACTCTAACGCTGCTCGCATGGACCACCGACTGTATTGGTCAAGTTAGAACCTGGTTCTGTATAAACTGAGGACCTGACAACTTATGTTCTTAACCAGAAACAGGCTGGTCAGCTAGCTTACAGGTTATAAGATAGTAAACATGCTAAACAACTCCATCATTAGTATCACAGGCTTGAATTAAAGCACACACAATATAATTTACTGTAAAACTGCAATATAACAGACTAAAGAATGTCACTTGAATGTCTTAGACGCTTCAAATGTCCATGTTTCAGTCAGAAGTAGCATCAAACTCAGACTGAATCCCAAACAGCTCTGTATCGTCTAAATAGTGTGCTAGCTATGGAAGTTTAGAAATTCTAGCTTCTACAGCCAAACAGTGGATTATTTGTCAAGTGTCGATGTGGCTGTATCCCAAATGACTAACTGTTAGCTATATTATGCACCACTGGGCTGCAAGATCCAGTATTTAAATCTGTTTGAGATTCAGCCCCAGCGTGAGAGGAGGGGTGCCGCTGGATTGGTGCTAAATAAGACTCATGGTGGTAATTTGGTGACCAAAAAGTGCTTATAAAGTGAAGGTTTTGCATTAAACAGTGCTGTGTTATCATATGTTCATTGTTACAGACAAAAAGTTAAAAAGTGCATGAAATGACCACAGTGTACAGCAATGGGCGACTGAACGTCCTTCTCCTCATTCAGCGGTCCATGGTTGCTTGGCAATTATACCAAACTCTAAAGAAACTACAATTATTGGCGAAATACTTGTTTATGATGATTATTATTAATAATAACAAATTATTTTCTGCAAAAGTTTGTATTTTATCATATTTTATGTTGGTCACTGCTTTATAAAAGCAATGAGCCACCAGAGGATGTGCGTTACAGTGATTTTAGCATGGGAATGGGAGTTTGACTCCGCTTTACGTCGTGCCTAAAAAACATCCTTCTCCGTGATAAAATCGCAGTTAAGCACAGCCTCTCATGGCTGATTGCTTTATTTTATATCATCACTGTCCAAAAAAACTCCAAAATTGTTTGGAATAAAACTATTTTACATTAGCTTAAAGTTGCTATTTTTACTCATCTTTCTCTAAACAGTGACAATATATAGTATATTTATGCAAATTATGACAAATTACATTGTCTATCATTGTGTATTAGCATCAGAGGATCATAGTTTCTCTTGAGAAGAAATCCAATGGGCTGGCTCTCTGGCTAAGGATCTTCAGATCCTCTGTTCAGAATGCTGTAACCGTGTTAAACCTTCATACCGTTTGGAGCCCTTGGCGAATTCCACAGATATGATCTTCCCATCGATGGAGAGAGGAGGCTGCAGAGCCTGTAGAATCTGCAGCAGCTGAGACGCCTCCTACAACACAAACAAAAAGTCTGGCCAAAAAACTAATTTGCATAATTTTCTGACACTGTATGTAAGAAATATAGTTTGTCACATAGCTAGTAGGAGAGTTTTGTCTGCACTTTAGTGCATGTTTATAGATGACTGTGTCATGCAGTTTCAGAAACCACATAATCAAGTATTTTAGCTATTACTATTTTTCAGCACTGAATCTAAGAAAACATGCCAATCAAAAACATGTGCTAATCCATCTCTAAACTTACAGCGGCTAACAGTAACAGAGTTTTTTTTTTATTTTTTTAACTATCGCTTTAATATAAATGTGTGAGCATGCTCCTGCAACAAAAAAAAAAAAGCCAGCTCAGCATTTGTCCAGCACCCTCTCATCTCTTTTAGCTCTCAAGTAAAAGCCAGTCGGAGATTTACTCTTCTCTATCTTCTTTGGTCTCTTCGCAGCCTCTGCCACAATATCCATGCTGGGAATACCAAGCTACTTCTTCTTATGGCTAACTGAATTGATGGTGTGCGACATGTGTGTGCTGTGAAGCGTTCCAGAGTCCTGGTGAGGGGTTCTCATGCTGCTACTCCAAAGTTACATAGCGCTATAGCAGGCGTTCTGGCCCAGAGTGGCAACGACAGAGACGCCACTCTCACTATTATAAGATACTGCAGAATCAAAATGACATTGGAGCTGTTATTAAAAGGTGAAAGGTTGTTACATAATGTTGCTTAAACTCACATTGCACATCCTTTATATTACATGCAGATTGTCTGGTACTGTCTATTTACACCGAGCAGGCATAACATTATGACCACCTCCTTGTTTCTACGCTCACTGTCCATTTTATCAGCTCCACTTACTATGTAGGTGCACTTTGTAGTTCTACAATTACAGACTGTAGTCCATCTGTTTCTCTGCATACTTTGTTAGCCCCCTTTTACCCTGTTCTTCAGTGGTCAGGACCCCCATGGACCCTCACAGAGCAGGTACTATTTGGGTGGTGGATCATTCTCAGCACTGCAGTAACACTGACGTGGCGGTGGTGTGTTAGTGTGTGTTGTGCTGGTACGAGTGGATCAGACACAGCAGTGCTGCTGGAGTTTTTAAACACTGTTTCCACTCACTGTCCACTCTATTAGACACTCCTACCTTGTCAGTCCACCTTGTAGATGTAAAGTCAGAGACGATAGCTCATCTGCTGCTGCACAGTTTGTGTTGGTCATCCTCTAGTCCTTCATCAGTGGTCACAGGACGCTGCCCACAGGACGCTGTTGGCTGGATATTTTTGATTGGTGGACAATTCTCAGTCCAGCAGTGACACTGCTGTGTTTAAAAACTCCAGCAGCACTGCTGTGTCTGATCTACTCGTACCAGCACAACACACACTAACACACCACCGCCACGTCAGTGTTACTGCAGTGCTGAGAATGATCCACCACCCAAATAGTACCTGCTAACAAAGGGGGCTAAGTATAGTAAGTGGAGCTGATAAAATAGAAAATGAGCGTAGAATCAAGGAGGTGGTCATAAAGTTATGCCTGCTCTGTGTATATATTTATGTGCTCATTTGAGCACAGCAGCTGTTCTTTATATTGTGTGAAAATTTTATAATGAATGGACCAATAGAAATGCTCTAAAACTGCTTAGAAAAAAATCTCTTTCCTTTGACTTACATTAAAAGTTAAGAACATTTAGGCATTTGGTGAGTTGAGCCTCCTCTGATTCTGCTGATACCACCCCCTGGTGTTGAGCAACTCAATTATATCAGCTAACTATCTAAGTATCCTCATCAATCAGTGAATGCGTTTTACGTTACGTTTACGTCATGTCTTATTCTGTAAGTTTATTGGCTGGTTGCAAAGCAGAAATCAAATTACTGCCTGACTCATGTAGACCTGGAGTTTCCCCATTATCTTATTTCCTAAGTGCACGTAAACGCATTGATCCGATTACTGACAAAATCTGATTTTCTGCAGTTGTCAAACATTAAGCGCATGTAAATGCACTCAATGACAAAAAACAAACAATAATCACCTCTTCCAGCACTCTGGCGGTTTCTTTCCAGACTGTCACAGAGATCCTTATTCTCTCCAGTGTTGAGTTTCTCTTTTTTCATTTTAAGGCGGAATGACAGAGTGAGCAATAGAAACGAGGCGTCCATCAAAAACAGCTTGTCGCATTGCACTGCAGCGCACTCTGCTGCTCGCAGCTCGTGCAGACAACTTCAGTGATTATAATGGGAGAATTTTAGTTTTGTCGCTGTCGCTCGCTCAGGTCGCTTGCTGTGCTTTATGTGTATCTCTCTGTACCAAAACTTACTTCATCCCCCTTTTGTTCATCCTGTTGAAACTCTTTCATTATATTTTTTAAATAAAGAAATGTATAATATCATGTAGATGTACTAATGATTTACCACGATGGTGGTGAGCTGTAGGAAGGCGAAGCCGCGGTTGAGTTGCGTCTGTTTGTCTTTAATGAGCCGGATGTTGGAGGGAGACAGAGTGGCGAACGGAGCGAGAGCCGACAGGATCGCCTCCAGACTGGTGTGAGGACCCAGATTCCTCAGGATCAGAGCTACACAGAGGAAACAACACCACATTCTGTACATAGAACTAAACGGATGTGTCTGTGTTAAAGGCCACGACCACTAATTAGAGAATCAACATTTGACAATTGACCGAGGTGCCCAAACTTTTGCATGAGACTGTACACTCAAAGGATCAGCACACAGCTGCTTTATTCTAACAAAACATTTACAGGGACTTATACTTAACTAAGCAAGATACAGAGAGAGAATGAGGAAGCGAGAGAGAAAAGAGAGAGAACAAGAGAGAGAAAGAATGAATGAGAGAGGGGGACAGAGAAAGAGAGAAATGAAGAGAGAGGAGATATAAAGGGAGAAGGACAGAGAGAATAAGAGAGAGAAAGGGAGGAAGAGCAAAAGGAGAGATAGAGAGAGAATGGGTGACAAAGAGAGGCAGAAAAAAGAGAGCAGAAAGAGAGAATAAGAGAGAAAGAGAATGAATATGAAAAAGAGAGAGAAGAGAGAGAAAGCATAGGAGCAAAAGGACAGAGAGAAAGAATAAGCAAGAAAAAGACAGAGAAAAGAGAGCAGAGAAATAAAAGAGAATGAATGAGAGAGAAAATAAAAGAGAGAGAGATAGAAAAAGAAAGATGGGCAAGAGAGGAAGGGAGAATAAAAGAGAGCGAGAGAGAGAGAAAGAGAGAGAGGGAGAGAGAGAGAGAGAGACTTACTGTCGTTGGCCACCTCGTTAGTCTGTGATGTGTTGGTGACGCTGATGAGGGGAGCAGTGGTCTGATAGATGGTGGGGAGGGGCAGTAGACCCTGTGAGGAGTCTTTTAACTGCCCCAGGGGCAACTCCTTCTGTACCAGGGGCAGTCTGAGCTCAGCCTCTGAGGAAATAAAGAAGTTTGATGTAGTATGTAAATACAGTTAAAGTGCCAAACTATATCCATCACTACCCACTACATACAGTCCATACAGTCTATATACAGAAAACAAGCTGCAAAAACAGCCTGTTCTGAATTCACTGCATTTGTGATGTCATCAAAAATCAGCACTTAAGCACTGCCTACTTACACTGAAGTTATAAGGAGGGTTGCAGCTCAGACTGCTTTTGAATGAGGCACAGCTAATGAGAACAGACCTCATTTACATATATCTTAAAGGCACAGTGACAAATACAGCCTGTTCAATTCTAAGGGATAAACAGAGGATGAAAAATGGTCATGCAGACCACAGATAAATTGGGACTGTTTTCGGTTTATAAAACCACAAAACCACACAAATGTCCTTAGGGCAAAAAACTAAATTTTAATGCTCTTTCTCCACTATTTACCTGATTTTGGAACTCCACATTTGAAACATTTCTCCCTCCGCTTGAAGTTCTGCACTCCACACTGAAAAACAAAAGATTTACCATCAGTTTGAATTACCAGAGCTCACACACATCCGATACATGCAGAGTTTTGAGTAGTAAAGTTATATTAACTCTTTGAAACAAGCAGAAAAACTTCTGGTTCTGTTTGTGCATCGAGGCGGAGACTAAATCTCCTAAATACTGTCCTAACTTTACAATATTTCCAGCGCCCTAACTTCTGTTTAAGTGTCCGTTTACATCATTTTTAGGCAGCTGTGTCAGGCAGCATAGTTCACTACTAGCATAATGACGCTACATTCATCTATACTGTAAAGCGCTGCTTTCACTGTGAGATGTTTTTCTTTTCTAACTCTGCATATTAAAAATCTCAGATGCTGCAGACATGATCTCCACCGTCTTACTACCTTCGTGTGTTAATGCTGATGAAATATTACAGTGATGGTGGTGAATAATGAGAAGACAGAGCTGAACGTGTGCCTGTTTATTAGGAGGAATAATATTTGCACGCTTGGCTAAAGCGTTTGGTAAATAGAGACTGAAAATGGGAGCGGCGACGCTCTGATAAACAGCAGGGGGCACTCTCACAGTATTCACAACTTACAGTTGATCACATTTTAGATTTGTTTGACCTTTTTTTTTATCAGTAACAGCAGCTGTCTGGCTAACTAACTTGATTATTTTGATGACGTGTTTAGGTTTCAGCTGTGTGCATGATCGGTTGCTAGGCAACAGACATGACAGCTGTTTGTCGACTTAGATCAAGTAGGTTAAGATTTCCTAACTGGAGATAAGATGCTGTAATATAAGATTCCTAAATTAAGATCAGATTTGCTTCCATAATACAAATTTGTGAATCTTACCTTGACATATTAAATCTTAAGACAAAAAGAGAGGACGTTTTACAGTCCCATATATATATATATATATATATATATATATATATATATATATATATATATATATATATATATATACACAGTGGAGGAAATAAGTATTTGATCCCCCACTGACTTTAAAAGTTTTAATACAAAAAAATAAATGAAAAGTCTCATAATTTTATGCCAGCTTTATTTTAACAGTGACACATAGAATATCAAAAGAAAATCTGGGAAAATTACATGAAATGAGAAATAAAAATTAATTTGAATTTCATTGAAGGAAATAAGTATTTGACCCCCTAGTAAAACATCATTTAATACTTGGTGGCAAAACCCTTGTTGGCAAGCACAGCAGTCAGACGTTTCTTGTAGTTTTTTATAAGGTTTGCACACACTTCAGGAGTAATTTTGGCCCACTCCTCTCTGCAGATCATCTCCAAATCCTTAAGGTTTTTAGGCATGCATTTGGAAACGAAGCTTCAGCTCTCTCCATAGATTTTCTATGGGATTGAGGTCAGGAGACTGGCCAGGCCATTCCATGACCTTGATATGCTTCTTATGGAGCCACTCCTTTGTTTCCTTGGCTGTATGTTTTGGGTCGTTGTCGTGCTGGAAGACCCATCCACGACCCATTTTCAGTGCCCTGGAGGAGGCAAGGAGGTTGTCACCCAGGATTTTGTGATACATGGCCCCGTTCATCTTCCCATCGATGCGGTGAAGTTGGCCTGTGCCCTTAGGAGAAAAACACCCCCAAAACATAATACTTCCACCACCATGCTTGACGGTGGGGATGGTGTTCTTAGGGTCATATTCTGTATTTTTCTTCCTCCAAACACGTCGAGTTGAGTTGAGGCCAAAGAGCTCAATTTTGGTCTCATCTGACCACAGCACCTTCTCCCAGTCTCTCTCGGAGTCATTAATATGTTCATTGGCAAAATTGAGGCGGGCCTGGATGTGAGCCTTCTTGAGCAGAGGAACCTGGCGTGCACTGCAGGATTTTAAACCATTACGTCTCAGTGTATCACCAATGGTTTTTTTGGAGACTGTGGTCCCAGCTGCCTTGAGATCATTAACCAGCTCCTCCCGTGTAGTTCTTGGCTGATTTTTAGCCTTTCTCATGATCAATGAGACTCCACGAGGTGATATCTTGCATGGAGCTCCAGGCCTAGGTCGATTGACAGTAATGTTGTACTTCTTCCACTTCCGAATAATTGCACCAACAGCTGTCACCTTCTCATCCAGCTTCTTCCTTATGGCTTTGTAGCCCATTCCAGCCTTGTATAGGTCAACAATTATGTCCCTGACATTTTTAGACAGCTCTTTAGTCTTGCCCATGGTGGAGATGTTGGAGTGTCACTGAGTCTGTTGGCAGGTGGCCTTTTATACAGGTGACAATTTGGGACAGGTGTCTCTCACGCAGGTAACGACTTCACTGAGATTAGGGTGTGTCAGTGGTCTGTGGGAGCCAACATTAGTCATGGTTTTTAGGGGATCAAATACTTATTTCCCTCAATGAAATGCAAATTATTTTAAATATTTTTAAATATTATTTAATTTTCTAGATTTTCTTTTTGATATTCCATCTCTCACTGTTAAAATGAAGCTACCATAAAAATCATAGACTGTTTAATTATTTGTCAGAGTACAAACTTTCAAAATCAGTGGGGGATCAAATACTTATTTCCTCCACTGTGTATATATATATATATATATATATATATATATATATATATATATATATATATATATATATATATGTATATATATATACACACACACACACACACACACACATATATATATATATATATATATATATATACACACACACATACACATATATATATATATATATATATATATATACACACACACATATTGAAATATAGTTCCACGTGTTTGTTATTACCTTGTTACAGAGCCAGTCCTCGTTGGCGCGGGGTTTGGGGTCGCTGTAGTGCATGGACACCCTCTGTCCCAGGATAGTGAGCACTCTCTGAGACGAAAACAGAGAGAAGGAGGAGAAAAGAAAAAAAGAGAGAGAGATCACAGTCAGAGCCCAAAACACACAGTTCAGAATTCACCTCACAAGAGAAAGCCAGTAAAAGAGAGAGAGAGAGATAGAGAGAGAGAGAGAGAGAGAGAGAGAGGGAGAGGGAGAGAGAGAGAGAGAGCGAGATAGAGAGAGAGATAGAGAGAGATAGAGAGAGAGAGAGGGAGAGATATCACCTTCAGCTGGAGAAGAATGGGACGGACGCGCTGTGTGAGAGAGTGCTTTTTGGACATCTCTCTCGGCCCAGGACCTTACACCCCCCCCTTCAGGGGAAAAGAAATCCAAACCCCCCCCCAAAATGACCATAACAGTAAACAACAACATACCCCTGACACTGGTCAGAGCAGATAGAGGATAGAAGAACAACCAAACATATTTAATTAATAAAACATAACTCATAGATAAACATCACCTAACAAACGACAGAAACGCAGAGCAAAACGCAAATAAAACAATATCTGAATCTACCTTTATCTGCATTTATCTGGATCTGTACTCCCATTTAGCTCATCATTCCTCAGCTGCTGCAGCGATGCCATTCTTCACACTCAACAATCTTCAATCTTTCTTTCTGTTACCCTCATAAACCATTTAGCTTCTACATGTTTGACGTCACATCACCTCCTGAGTGACCATCTCAGCTTTTCTCAATACACTGTATGTCCAAAAGTTTAATTCTCTCCTTTAATGAGAGAATTCATCTATTTTGAGGAGGCAATAGTATGGGACACTCTGGAGCAGCCTAAGGTCTCCATGTCCAATGCCAAGCGTGGGCTAGAGGGGTATAAAGACCCCCAGCACTGGGCTGTGGAGCAGTGGAGCTGCGTTCTCTGGAGTGATGGAGCTCCATCCAATACGTTTTTGATGAGTTGGAGTGCTCCAGAACTGACCATTCAACATCAGTACCTGACCTCACTAATGCTCTATCAAATCCTCACAGGAATGTTCCAACATCTAGAAGCTTTCCCAGAAGAGTAGAGGCTGTTACTGCAGCACAGACTCGCTATTAATACAAAGAGAAACACTGGAGTCTACAGACTTTTGGACATACATTCAGGAAATAATATTACTGTCCAAACAAAACGTTTAGGCCTGTGTCCTTAATAGTCTCTGAGATTTAGAGGCTTTAAAAAAAATGCATCTGGACTTATTTTTTTGCCTAAAGGGCCCATATCATGGAAAACTGAATTTTACCCCTTTTTTCCCAAATAAGAGATTGATGTAGTATGTAAACACAGGTTTGGTAAATGAACTACAAAAAACAGCCCATTCTAAATAAACTGTTTTGTGACATCATAAAAGTAGATGCACCCACACTGAAGTTAGACAAAGTGTTTCAGTGTAGACTGCTCTTTGAGTTAAGCACAACAGAGAGCCACAAATCACATCTACATAGATCAATCTATCAATTATATAGATTATATCAATTTTATAGATTATATCTATGTAACTACATAGATTATATACACTGCTCAAAAAAATAAAGGGAACACTCAAATAACACATCCTAGATCTGAATGAATGAAATATTCTCATTGAATACTTTGTTCTGTACAAAGTTGAATGTGCTGACAACAAAATCACACAAAAATCATCAATGGAAATCGAATTTATTAACCAATGGAAGCCTGGATTTGGAGTCACACACAAAATTAAAGTGGAAAAACACACTACAGGCTGATCCAACTTTGATGTAATGTCCTTAAAACAAGTCAAAATGAGGCTCAGTATTGTGTGTGGCCTCCACGTGCCTGTATGACCTCCCTACAACGCCTGGGCATGCTCCTGATGAGGTGGCGGATGGTCTCCCGAGGGATCTCCTCCCAGACCTGGACTAAGGCATCCGCCAACTCCTGGACAGTCTGTGGTGCAACGTGACGTTGGTGGATGGAGCGAGACATGATGTCCCAGATGTGCTCAATCGGATTCAGGCCTGGGGAACGGGCGGGCCAGTCCATAGCTTCAATGCCTTCATCTTGCAGGAACTGCTGACACACTCCAGCCACATGAGGTCTAGCATTGTCCTGCATTAGGAGGAACCCAGGGCCAACCGCACCAGCATATGGTCTCACAAGGGGTCTGAGGATCTCATCTCGGTACCTAATGGCAGTCAGGCTACCTCTGGCGAGCACATGGAGGGCTGTGCGGCCCTCCAAAGAAATGCCACCCCACACCATTACCAACCCACTGCCAAACCGGTCATGCTGAAGGATGTTGCAGGCAGCAGATCGCTCTCCACGGCGTCTCCAGACTCTGTCACGTCGGTCACGTGTGCTCAGTGTGAACCTGCTTTCATCTGTGAAGAGCACAGGGCACCAGTGGCGAATTTGCCAATCCTGGTGTTCTCTGGCAAATGCCAAGCGTCCTGCACGGTGTTGGGCTGTGAGCACAACCCCCATCTGTGGATGTCGGGCCCTCATACCATCCTCATGGAGTCGGTTTCTAACCGTTTGTGCAGACACATGCACATTTGTGGCCTGCTGGAGATCATTTTGCAGGGCTCTGGCAGTGCTCTTCCTGTTCCTCCTTGCACAAAGGTGGAGGTAGCAGTCCTGCTGCTGGGTTGTTGCCCTCCTACGGCCTCCTCCACGTCTCCTGGTGTACTGGCCTGTCTCCTGGTAGTGCCTCCAGGCTCTGGACACTACACTAACAGACACAGCAAACCCTCTTGCCACAGCTCGCATTGGTGTGCCATCCTGGATGAGCTGCACTACCTGAGCCACTTGTGTGGGTTGTAGAGTCCGTCTCATGCTACCACGAGTGTGAAAGCACCACCAACATTCAAAAGTGACCAAAACATCAGCCAGAAAGCATAGGTACTGAGAAGTGGTCTGTGGTCCCCACCTGCAGAACCACTCCTTTATTGAGTGTGTCTTGCTAATCGCCAATGATTTCCACCTGTTGTCTATTCCATTTGCACAACAGCATGTGAAATTGATTGTCAATCAGTGTTGCTTCCTAAGTGGACAGTTTGATTTCACAGAAGTTTGATTTACTTGGAGTTATATTGTGTTGTTTAAGTGTTCCCTTTATTTTTTTGAGCAGTGTAGTTACATAGATATACAATTCTAAATGGACAAAAAGAGAATGGTCAGGTAAAACTTATGATTATTTTGATTATTAATTATTAGATAACAAATATTACAAGTGGACCACTGTGAATATATAAAATGCAGAAAATGAGATCCTCTCTGTATGGCTGCCCTATATTGTGCCTCATTCAAATAGCAGTCTGGGCTGAAATGTTGTTTCTGCAGCTTAGTTTACATTTATGGACTGGAGAGTAAATGGTACATTTTGAAACATCTGGTACACATCACATCACACTTCTATTTCCAAAAAGTAGGGAAAATTTGGCTTTTCGGTGATACTACTGCTTTAAGATGTAAACAGAGTCATTCAGAGTGGTTTGGTGTGAAACTTATTGAGTCAGAACTGTTCACAGTGGTGGTGATAGGAACCAGATGTCCACCTCTAAAAGCTCCCTCACTGAAGGTTATTACATGAAATGGTTATAAATACACTGTCTGATGTCTGAGACACTGTTTTTCAATAGTTTTGAGAAGATTTTGGCCTTAAAATCCATTCTTGGTGGAGGGACACATAATATGCAGGGCACTATGAGGCAATATAGACCCCAAAGAAAACTCAGAAGACGTGTAGGTTCACTGGTGGTTTTGGATAGTAAAGAAAATGTCTATATTTGTGTTGTAGTCATGGCGACCCCTGGTTCCCATCACTACCACTGTAAAGAAATCTGAACCATTTCACACCAAACCACTCTGAATGACTAACACTTTAATTATGCAGAAATGTTTAAAAATCTGTGGAATTTTCCTTTAAAGTCAGTCATATAGTACTTTCATATATCACTACTTTCCAAATACATTTTATATACTGTGAAACAAAACGTTAATAAATATAGGTTGGGTTTAAGACAGAGACAACTTTATATTCAGTATATCTATTAACTGAAATGTGCTCATTTCAGTTATATACGTTTTGAAGACATTAAATACAACAACTCATTTAACAGCTCATAAATCTGAGATCTTTATTACTTTAAGGCAAATACCTAATTGGCAAATAGAGTGTTGTAATATGAGTAACACATACTAAAATTTTAAAGATTTGTTCTGAAGCTGTGTGGAAATATAGAGGGCCAAAGTTGCTCCAATGCAGATTTTTAAAAATAGATATTTAGCAAGCTAGAAATTTGTGAACAAGCATTTCTAACTTACGTTTTGGTAGTTAAATTTAGTTTTTAAAGCAAGGAATAATTCCTGAACATTTTATAAATCTAGCATTCACAGTACAAAACTTATCAATGAGTTTTCCATAGCACTCATTATAATGCAAAAATTATGTATACTTATACATTTCTCGGAAACTAACGAAGATACAAGCCTAAAATTTTGCGCACTATATTTTGGGAACGGTGACATTAATCTGAGATGATCAGTCACGAGGCCTCACTAGGTCTGAGGGATTTTTTGAGGAAAATCCAGGATGGACAACAGATTAAAAACACTTTCATGTCAAATTATTCCTCAACTGATGCAACACTGGGGACATAATCGATGATCCCCCCCTTCCCCTCACACACAGAAACGTGACTAAATTATTAACTAAACATATACAGAGCAGCGCCTGCTAATGTACAGCATCAAATCACCATATTACTTCAGCATAGATGCATATTTAACTCATAGAAGATACAGTTTTGGACTTAGTTCGCATAACTCACTGAAAGAACAAATTCTGACTTTGAACTGACTGTGGGTACAAAACAAGATATTTTGTTATTTGTTATTTAAATTTAAGAAAAACTCATTGTTGCCTGTACATTCTGGGGTAAGAGCATGTTTCTGCCATGTTTTGAGCAAAGTTTGACATTTGACATCAATAAAAATGCAACTGAACGTAACTCATTAGGTAACTACACAACGAATTATGAAGTATGAAACCACTTTTATACAACTGTTACATAAATTGAATCTACAGCAGAATAATTCTAGACTTCTAAGGGTTAATTAGTTAGTTTGTCTTCTGTACATCTTCTGCCCCAAACAGCAAGCAGAAGAACTCATTGAAATGCATCAAATTCCACCAGAAATTAAATAAGCTTATAAAGTATTAATAAAGTGCTGTCAAATCTCTGATAAGCTAATAATAACCCTTTCCCAATACCAACAATCCATCTACACCACAAAAGCTATGTTATGGCAAGTGAAATAACTGTAACTTTAGTGTAAACATTCACTGTTTCCCATTCTCACTACCATTTAAGTTACTTGTATTTTTTATTCACTTAATTATAATTAAATTTGTAATTTTTCAGCCAAAAAATTCTGTCTTTTTTTCTTTTTACTCTTACGTATTTTACTACTACACAGCATCCTGTATGGAGATTCTCCATTGAAAGGAATCTGTTGTCTAGGAACAAACTTAATCCCTGTCCAGGAAACTGATCCCAAAACAGCCTAAAATGTAAAGAAATAGGTTTAATAATAATAATGATAATAATGATAATATTTTAAAAGTCTCTTAGAGAACATTATTAGATACACTGCCAACATTTAAAAGAAAATTCCAGCAATTTTCTAATTTTATGCACAATTCAATACTTGAGATATAATCAGAGTTAACTATTTAATTACGCAGAAATTTTGAAAAGTTGGTGCAGCTCCACTTTATATTGAGTTCATTTGACAACATTTTTTGCAGTGCATCTACAAACAAAAGCACGTCTCAGAAAAACATGCTTAAGAAGCAGCAACATCATTAATCCTACAAGAACTCCATCGAACAGCGTGAAGAAAAGACTCCAGTGAGTTTGTGCAGATTCACTGAACATCCACACGTGTGCTCTGAGAGTGTGTGTGTGTGTGTGTGTGTGGTGTGAGTGACCTGGTTGCTCTCCATCCAGCGGCTGGCCTCCTGTAAGTCATTAAACTCGACGAAGGCGAATCCTCGGCTCTGACCTGGAGACACAGCCGCCGGCCACAACAACAAAACAACAACAACAACAACGCAGTGAGGGGTTAGTGCCTTCACATCCAAACAGAGAGAAAGAGAGAGAGAGAGAGAGAGAGAGAGAGACTTAAAGATATTCTGATCACGTTTATTGGCCCCCAGTCCCAATTCCAGTCATTTAAATATTGATCCTGAATATCAGTAGTTTAGTAGCTAATACAGCTCTATAGCGCACTGTCCTCCACAGGCTCCGCCCACTAATATGTTCTTTCATAGCGATGTGAGAAAAACTCACGTTCAATCCAGTGAGAAACTTGGTTTTTGCAGTGCATATCAAATCTTAAAAAAGATGCTCCAAAAATAAACACATTCCAGCTGGACCGTGTTATTGCAGGCAATCAAAAATATATAACTAACACTTTAAAAAAGATGGTTCTTCAAGGGTTCTTTAGTAAAGAAACTGGTTCTATATTGAACCATGAACACTCAAGGAACACTCTGCATGATTACAAAGGATTCTTTGCATTGTGAAAATGGCTCTATATAGCACCAAAAAAAGGGTTCTTCTATTACTACGATGTCAAGCTTCAATTATTCAAGTATCAATTGAAGAACACTTTTTGGTGCTATATAGAACCATTTTCAAAAAGGTTCTATATAAAACCATCTACAGCACATTCTCCATCAATCTGAAGAACAATTTCATGATGTAAAGAACCATTTAATCATGCTAAGGGTGTAAGTGTTCATGGTTTAACCATTTAATCATGCTAAGGGTGTGAGTGTTCATGGTTTAACCATTTAATCATGCTAAGGGTGTGAGTGCTCATGGTTTAACCATTTAATCATGCTAAGCTTTGAGTGTTCATGGTTCTATAGAAAACCATTTTCCTTTACTAAAGAACGCCTCAGGAACCATCTGTGAACTCAACTAAAAACACTTTTTGTAAGATGTTTAAACTGATGTAGTTGATAAATCTTACAACAAAACTTCAATAATGACACTGACAGCTTTTTGAAGTACAATTCTTAGAGAACTTATATTTTCAGAAGCTCATGCTACTTTTTTGGGTCATGAGTCATTTTGATTATCCATTATGTAGTTTCATTTAATTAATTTACTTCTTGAAATGTTTTGGCTTATTTTGTCCATAGACAGAACAAATGATGTCCTGCAGTCTATGTGTGGCTGGTTTAATCATGTTTTGGCAAAATATGGCCAGTTTAACTAGTCTAAAACAGTGGCACTGCAGATATTACAAGCTACTGCAGGTCTGTTTAATCTTCTATGAAATATTTTCACACTACCGACATTTAGAGCATTTTATGAAAACGAAAACTTTGCCGCTGCAGGTGGTGGATAACGTCTGTTTATATCACCTTTACAACAGTGGAGAAAAAACAGCACAGTGAGTTAAACAGGCTGAAAGGATCTGGTTTGTTATAGCCGAGATACAGTGTCTATGAGAGAATGAGGGGAAAAAGAGAGAGAAAGAGGATGGAATGGACAGACAGAGATCTGACCACTCGTACTGTGCACTGCTTTAGTGCATTGCTTTGTTAACTGCGTGTTATTAGGGCACAAATTACTCAGTTAATTTAAAAACACAGACACACAAAACACACAATAAACAACTTCACATGATCCATCAGATTACTCATATTTGCATAAAGTGGCACAATGAAAATATAAGACTGGGACAAATATTTGTAATTAAATTTGCAATGTCCTTCGGAATTAATACAGTTTCTATCTACCTTTCTAACTATCCATGTCAACACTGTCATACCAAAGTCTAGTATTTCTGAATAGGTAACATATTATAACTAACAAAATGTTAATTCAGAGTAATTTTGAACCATTTCACTGGTGTTTTAAAGGACAGCTGGTGTTTCCAAATGGACATGGCTTGACAGTCTTGACACTGACAATATTTTAATACTTGTTTAAACAATTAACAGTCTGCACAAGTCAATAAACAATGTAAAAATTTTTAATATTTTGCTTAGAAATTCCAATAATTTCTGTAGCAGTTATATTACCATTTCATCTTTATTTCAATGAAACAATTTGACAATATTACTATCATTACAAGCTTTTGTAATGATAGTAATCACAGTAGTAATGACTTTTAATCCATGTGTAATCACCAAAGGTCTCCTTACTATCTCAGATTTGTTTAACATTTTCAGGAAATAATGTCACCGTACCCAGCAGATAGTGTGCAAATTTCAGGCTTGCATCTTCATCTGTTTCTGAGATTTAGAGGTTTTAAAAAGTGGGTGCCTTGAAATTCACCTTAGAACTGCTAAATTTGATAAGCCGCAACTTTTGAACTATTGACAATATGCATAAAATTGTCAGGGATTATTCTTAGGTTTAAGGTATCTATTCGCAATTTTTACGGTTTCCATAGTTTTTTCCCCATTGGAGCAACTCTGGCCTTACTGAAGTCAGTTTTAGTATTTATTCATCATATCCCAGTAACCTCTTGCCAATTTGGCATTATTCTCAAAGTAATAAAGGTTTCTGCTGTTAAAAATCTAAGTATCTACATTTTAAATGCATATTACTCTGACTTAAACTGCTTTTAAAAAGGAATATTAGAATTGAAAAATACACCAAATATGAAAATGGTGTCTTGAGAACACATTTTAATGCACAAAATTAGGGTCACTCTTTAAGGCCTCTATATTTCGATTGGGCCAACAGATGATGTCGTAACCCATCGTCGATGGCTGACATCACAATGCTGAAGCATGATGTAGATCACTAGGTTTCACTAATTACTCACACTAATAAAGTCATTTCATTTAAACTCTTTGTGTTTACACTGAGAGTCTGATTCAGGCAGAGAACCATAAAGCAGAGCCATCACACAGCAAAGTCTAATGTATAAATCTGTTTTTAAACCAGCACTTCAATAATGCTTCTTGTGTTTTTATCATGGTAGCTACTAGCTATATTAGCATCAAGCTAGCGGGGTTAGCTCAGCGCTGTTTGGGATTTTTGTGTCAGCTCTAGTTTAACTACAGACATTTTAAGCCCATAACAGGCATGTAAGTAACACTATTTACTTTGTGTCACTATTTTAAAGTAATGCTTTATTTAAAGGCTTTTTATTTAAAGGGTTTTTAAGGCTCTTTAAGTCTGTCTTTTGTTATTGTAGCATTAGCCTGTTAGCCAGCTAGCTTTCTGCTACCTGCTCAGCCTGCTAGTGAGGGCAGAACCCAGTTCTAAAGAGAATATAACGTGTAAAATTATCTAAAGAGAGTCTGGAGCAAACAGTGATGTTTAACAGACAGTTTATCATCTAGTTGCATTTAACAGACACAGATTTCAATGCTAACAACTTTTACTGAGTCATTATGAAGTTGAAGCTCTGTGCTTTTTATGCTTGTAGTGCTGCTGTAATTTCCTCTTCACTTGGCTATACTGACTGTGGCAAAGTGCACGTTGTCTGAGAACAATTAGACAAAACAATAACTTAAAAATTGGCACATTTTCTTCGGCTTCTCTGAAACTGGTAACGAACAATACTTCTGTTCCCCAACAGAATATTTCAGCCATAATCGCGAAACACAGAAGGTCACCTGAAAAATAAAGTAGATACAGAGGAATACAAGGATACAGAGGAAAGACTAACGAAGAGTAATGAAGAGCTTGGAATTTTCTGCTAAGCACACTGGCCCACACTCATCAAAGTTGAGTAGAAATGGGTGCAGATTAGACCAGCCAAAACAACACACGCTCGCATACGAGTACCTTATTTACGTTGCATCTGCAACAGACACATCCCAATTTACACTTATATTGATACTACTTACATAAAGCACACCGTAATTCATGCAGATGTTTTTTCGTCAGTGATGTCTGGGTTCAAGTAAGAGGTGCACTGCCCCACCTACTGGCCAGAGCTTAGACACCTTTAAATAATTAAAATTACAACAATTGAGCCCCGCCAATGAATTTTTTTTGTCCGATCAGTAATTTTGTTTTCTATTTCATTTTATATCACCTTTTACATTAAAAAAACAAATTATGCTTTGTTTATGCTGTAGTGATTCCTTTATCTTAAATACAGGACATCAAACAATGCCAAGCCATTTTTATGATTACCCTGTTACCCTGTTTTCATTGAAAAAAATAAAAATGTGAAAAGAACAAAATGTTGTAGCCATAATGCAGCATATGAGTCTCTTCTATACTGGATGTGCTCTGTTTGGTGTTTTAGGGAGGGAGTTATTTACTGTATCAGTTGATAAAGTTTTTAAATGGAATGCATATTCACAACATTGCCACTGTTGATATTATTGATGTAAGTGACGATAATGCTGATAAACTTTGATGAAAAAGAGCCGACGCCTTTAATTCCTGAAAATATTAACCTGAGATGATCAATGGGGAACTTTTTCTGAAACCTGGTGACCTGAGGTGAATCCGCCAATTTTTTAATGTATTTATATAAGCCGACAAGCTTTCAAGTTGTAAAAATAATAATAATACATTTTAGTTTGCTGTGAAATACAAAAAGTTGAGGGAAACTGTCAGAACAGAAACATAAGACAGATAGTCATATAATTTTATGAGTTAAGCCATTACTCATGAGTGTGGACATGAGAAATGAATTCTAAATATCTACTCGGTCTGACCATGCTGGGTTGAGGCAAATGAACTAAATCAAAACTTGACTGTATGTTTTAAATTACACCAATACCTGGAACAACCTGTCCAGACAATATGACATTTAGGCCACATAATCAGTCATTAATAGAGCTATTATTCTAAAAAAGCAGCTTACTCACTTCCACCTTGACCTCATTTACAATAAAATTAGTGTTAATTTTAACAGAGAAGACGAGGTGGGCTATAAAAGTCCAAAAATAAACTCTCATGCTGAACCTTAAAGTGTCTGAGCTGATCACGCTGATTACACATGAAGTAATTGCAAATCAAAACACAGTCACAGATAAGCTGCTAACACACTGCAGTCCCAGATTCTGCAACAATACTTACACACAACTCTCCTCTGTCGTCTCTGGGATGTACAGTTGGAGGCATGAGTGGAAATGTGAGTCTGTACAGTGGAAAATGTAGCGTGTCTATAGGGTTGTATACAAAAGTTTGAATTGGTCAAATTCCATGTTCAGTTGATTTTCTTTGTGAAAATAAGTTAACACATCCTGTTCATGTTAACTGCTGTTTATTTACTGAAATTAACATATAGGGGAAAAATAAAACATACAATGTGGATTGTGCAAAAGTTTATATTTTGTGTCTTTTTTCCATTATGTTACACTCAGCAAATAAACAGAAACTGTGCATTAAAATTTGCAGAAAAATGCCATATTTATCTGTAGAGGATGTGTTAACATTTTCCCTAAAATCAACAAAACATCTGAAATTTGACCAGGAGTGTTCAAACTTTTGCCTAGCAGGTAAGGTGGATACCTGGCACGAACTTATGATGTATTCAACTAAACCAGCTCAAATTTATTTACTTCACATTTTCCACATATTAACAATAACCTGGTATGTAAAGGTCTTTGCTGATAACATCTACTGTAGGATATAAGGTTTGTGCCTTAAATAAAACTAAGCTTTCAAATACTAAAAAGAGATCGCAATAAGAGAGTACCCGACTATTCAAATTACGCGGGCCAGCTCTAAATATTACTATAATCCACCAGAACAGGAAAGTCTGTGGAAGAATTTTAAGTTGGCTTGACAAAGCCATGTAGAAACACTGAAGATAAAGAACCTGACGGAGTTGTAGACAGCTGTACAACTTTATTGTTTATATAGTTTTTCCAGGTGGTTGCTAAGCTGTTGCCAGGCAGTTGCTATGGCATTCCAGCTGGTTATTAGGCCATGGCAGATACTAGGTGCTTCCTAGGTCACTGCTATGGTACTGACAGCATTGATAAGTGGTTGCTAAGGTTTCTGTGGTGGTTGCTATAGTGTTTCAGGTTGCTGCCAGGATTTTGCTACGTGGTTGTTATGTTATCCTGGTTAATAACTAAAATGTTGCTAGATTGTTGCTGCAGTATCTTGGGTGGTTGCTGGGTGGTTGCTAAGTGGTTGCTAAGGTTTCTGAGGTGGCTGCTTCAGGTTGTTGCTGGGATGTTCCTAGCTGGTTGCTAAGGCGTTGCTAGATTGTTGCTATGCTACCTTGGGTGGTTGCTAGGTGTTTGCTATGGTGTTGCAGTGATTCCATGGGTATTGTTAGGTGGTTGTTAGGCAGTTGCTATGGTATCTCAAGTGGTTACTATGGTACTGCAGGTGAATGCGTAATTACTATGGATTCTCTGATTGCTGCTGTTGCTATGTGTTTGCTATGGCATCTGTGGTGGCCGCTAGGGTGCACTACTGTATCCCAAGAGTTTACTAGTAACTATGCAAATTTGTATGTAATGTATGTGTTCATTGTGACATAATTTGCAGCAGTTGGATGTGAGTTTTCACAATCTGAACAATCTGGCATTTATTTCCTCTGGGAAAAAATCGTCTTTGAACGAATGCTGTACAAAAACTGTATGTCCGATTTTTAAAAAGCATAAGCTCACTACTTGGCTATAGAATCTATGATTATGCAAATTTTGGTGGTTTCAGCTAGAAAGCTGAAAGAAAGTGTATATTTTCAGTGCAGAATAATAATACGTTTAAAACGAAGAACAGTAAGCTGACTTTGTCAAGCCAAATTAATTATAGTAGACTAAATACACTATGATACTGCAAAATGATGCAGTTGAACTGGCATCTTTATATCAATGCACTGATGCATTTCTATCCCCAGTGTACACTGTGTGAGTGTATGTGTGCAGATAAACCCCAGTACGTTCTGCATCATTACTCAGTGACTGAGTTGAATGTATGCATGTGTGGGCACCTGTTCTTTTGTTTTGGACGTGACTGACAGCTCAGCAGTGGGTGAAAGAAGTGGCAGAAAGAAGAGAGAGAACAGACGAGTGTTTTTCGAGCACTGACAGCACACTGAGCAGGCCTACGGTTATCAAAAGCATCAAACCTACTGATGGCATAAACCTCTACCCTCACTAGGCATTGAAGAGCGAAGAGGGAGAAACACTGACTGGAAGTGAGCGGCAGAAACAGAGAGAGGAGGAATCGGAGGAGGGAGGGAGCAGTTTTTAAGGGATGAGTGTAGAAGAGGTAGATAGTGTTGGGGTAACTGAAGGCCCCACTTGAAGAATGAACTCACCTGAAGATTTATTCCTCATGAGACGCACTTCTCGTGGCTGGACTCCCTGCTGCTGCAGCTGGGCCCGAATCTACACAGAGAAAGTACATTGAACTGATGACTGAACTACACACTATTAGCAGAAAGGGTTCTCTGTAGAGTTCTTTGTTTCATAGCAACTGTGGAAACCTGTTTGGTGCCATTCAGAACTATTTAAAAAGGATTCATTAAAGAAAGTTCTGGTTTCCCATGGTAAAGAGGAACAGTTTGATCATTCAAAGAATGATTAATGCATTGAGGTGGATCTTTTAGTGTTTATCGTTCTATAAAGAACCACCATCTTTAGTAAAGAACTCTATAAAAAAGCTTTTTTAAGAACGTACTATCCACATTATTCCTGCACTGGTGAAGCTTTGAGTGGCTCACTTCTGGCAAAGCGTAGCCAGACAATAAGTTAAATGCTAACAACTTTTTAACACGATATAAATATGTAAATAAATAACTGTACATAATCTTTACTGCTGGGATGCGTGAATCCTTGTGTGCTGATTTAATCAGATGATTCTATTTATAGCCTACACCAGGGGTACCTAAGCTGGGAGTCCCGATGTGGTTTCAGAGAGGTCGCAAGAGAGGTGGCCTTATAAAATACAGAGAAAATAATTTAGACGGGTGCCTGACGAAAATGCCACTTGAATGGGAAAGAATGTGAAGATATGAGAAATTAATCTGTCAGCGTTAAATTTTGCTTTGTGCTGAGGTGAACCTTAACCCCACAAACCTCTGAAGTGTCAGCCAACAGAAAACAAGCTGGTGCTTCTTATGTGAATCTTAACTAAACATCTTACTGTCATATTATGATATTACATTTTTGACATTTGCCAAGTGTTTTGAAAACAAATAATGAAAAATAATGAATAATAATGAATAATGAAATATTCCCAAGTCTGTCCTATGATGCTGAGGTACCTCAGGGCTCTACTGAAGGACCATTATTATTGTTTGATGTTAAAGTATTGATAAAGCCATGGTAAAGTTCTTTGTAATGTATGTATAAAAAAACAAGCTGTGATAAAAAAAAACAAAAAACAAAAAACATATAATGGACAGTGCAACCAGATAGAAAAGAAACTCATGTTTACACTTGAATCTTAATATATTATACATATATATTTTTTATACAACTCATTTGCAAACCCTGTAAGCAATAATGTGTATGTCTCTGGTGAAAGGCTTTTAAAAAGTACCTGATTTTAAACATTTACATATTACGCTTAATTCTAATATAAAACCAATGATAACTAAAGCAAACGTAAGATTAAATTAGGACCAGTTTCTCAGACCCAGATTAAGCCTAAACCAACACTAACAACAATAAAAGTGACAGAAAACCCACGTGTGAAGGCCGGTGTAAACTGGGCAGAGCATTTCTTAGCCTGTACCTCATTGACGGTGGCATTTGGAGGCAGCATCCTGAGCATGATGATGTTGCTGGGTCTCTGGCCCTGTTCTCCCTCAGCTCTGTAGTCCTGATCCCGAAGCTCTGCCTCCTCTGGTCCGGACTCCGCCCCTGCTGGGTACGCACTCTCTCCAGCTTCATCCCTCGCTCCAGACTGCTGCTGGGGACAGAAACCCTGGAGCAAAAACAGGACACACATTAAATATGACACTGCCAGCTTGTTCCAGTGGTTCAGAGGCCACTATATTAACACCCCCTCAACTTTACCCCAAATGTAATCAGTCAGCCAAGACATGTTTGGTGTCTGAAGTTTGTTTCTGCAGCTTTAGCACTGGTTCTACAAGGCTAATGTAGCTAACAAGCAATAGAAGTGCATACCCCACAAATAAGCATTAGCATTGCCTCAAATCATGTGGAGTTGTTCAGTATCTTTAATAGACTTGAATATGTGGTTTCTGAGACTTACTGTTAACTGTAATCTATAAACATTCACGTTTCAGGATGGCAGCGACTGTGTTTAGCTATGTGATGTTCATTTGTCAGTGCTAACTGGTAGGGTATGAGCAGAGCCGGTTTATGAGGAGCCTGGCCTCTTCCTATTTCCCCTGTTATTTCAAAACCACTGCAAAACAGCCGAGGGCGCCCACGAGCGAGTCATCAATGAATGAGGGTGAATGGAGGTAAACGGCTAAAACAAAAAAGTTAAAATAGTTTCTAATCACTCACCCAGAACTTTCCTTTAATTTTAGAAAGTAAAAGGATGTATTTCACTAAAAAGCACAGAAAACTTACCTGCTTGTTTCCTTTTTTCTACAGCAAATGCGTTTTGGGCAGTACAATGCAAGCATTACTGCCAGTGAGTGCTGACTGGTTGGTAAGCGGAGTAGCCCATTGGCTATTTGTACTCACTCGCATTATGAATGTACATGAGGCGCTGTTTTAAACTTCTATAACTCGAGGTCAGAAGTGTTCAATTTTATACTGTTGTGTGTTCAGGAAATGAATGTATTCTTTCACATTAAAAATGTTTAAGCATTTATAAACTACAATTTTACTCAAATGTTATAAAGATAAACAGGAGAAATGTAAGATATGGGTCTTTAAAGGTTAATTTGGACAGGAGTATGAAATAATGCCATAGTTCATAGTAATTAGGGATTTTAGTATTTTACTCTGTGTAGTCAGTCAGCCAAGACACGATTATTTACCTTTGCACTGGAGCTATGAGGCTAATGTAGCTAAGGTAGCTCATACCCCAGATAACTTGTAGAGAGGACCATTTCCACTCTGTAATGTCTTCTGACAATTTAAAGATGACTGGGTCAACAGAAAATACAAGTCAAAATGACTTAAAATAAAATTTTGTTACATGACATTAAACGTTAAGACCTTTTTTGACTTCTGTAAACCGACTATCCATATCTTGTATAATCTGGAATATATACAGGGTGATTCAAAAAGATTAATCCAATTTCAAAGCGCCATATTTTTACAACCGTGAGGTGCCTAGGGAACAATCACAGACCAGTTGAAAGAGGGGGTCATAGAGTTTCTGACTGTCACTGGAAGATGGCTCCCTTAAGACAGAATTCGTCATAACTGTGCAATGTGATTTTCGTCATCAGTGAACTTCCAACAGCTCAGAGCATTCGTTGTTGGTTCACTGGATGATCACCTGGATGATCTCCAAAATCGCATTGAAAGAGCCGTCAGTACCGTGACACCCGACATGCTCAATCGAGTAAGGGATGAATTTGACTATCGCGTCGATGTTGCCCATACAGCTGGAGGGGGCATATAGAGCACTTGTAAAATTACATAATAAACTTCATGCTCACTTAAACCATTTACAATTTACTGCATTGTTCTGTAATGATTTACAAGTAAAATAAATCATTTTGAAATCGGATGAATCTTTTGAATCACCCTGTATATCAATATTCTATCCACTGCATACCCTGCCTCTCATTTACCTACCTCGGACTCACTAACTGCATATATGGAAATGTGTACAACTGTACATATCACAGCCTTTATTCAATAACTTATATTATAACTTAACATACTTTACTTTTAATGTAAATCAATGAAACCAGAATTCTTTCCAAGTAATTTTGGGCCATTTCTTTTAGTTCATTCATCATAATATTTACACAAAATGTAAAGGGCAACAGGCATTTTCAAATTATGTCAAAACTGAAAAACAACAGAAATGGAGATACAAGGTTTTCTTCCGACAACAGCGATACATTTAGGGTCCAATGTGTGTATATATTTATATTTTGTTTATATATTTTGTGTGTGTATATATATATATGTAGTTCTACAATTACAGACCGTAGTCCATCTGTTTCTCTGCATAATTGTTGGCCCCCTTTACCCTGTTCTTCAGTGGTCAGGACCCCCAAATAAATATATATATATATATATATATATCTTTTTTTTATTATTTAAGTAGTACAAGGGGGCTACGCACCTAAGATCTAAGATCTTCACTCACCTTCACACCTGTGTAAATGTGATGTGACAATAGACTGGATGGGGCTAATCTGCTGTAGGCTGAATAGGTGGATATATGTAAACGCGTTGCTGTTTTTGCAGCTTAGTTTCTATATATGGACAGTGTTATGATCCTTTGGGTATGTGGTGTTTTGTTTTGTGCTTTCTTTTTTGTTCATCACTTTTTCCCCCATAGGGTTAATGTCTGGAAGACTCAGATTGGGTACAGCAGGGGGCGCTCCAGCTACTTATGGGGCAGAGATGCACTGCAGAAGGAGAGGGCTGTTCCAGTGGTCGCATCTGTGTGATCAGCCTCCACTTAACCAGACCAACCACCTGAGGATTTGTTTGTGAATTAATGTGTTAGCGTGTTTGTATGAGTTTGTCTAAAGGCTTGTAAACCTCTCTCTTTGTAAGTAAGGGGGTGAGTGCCCCCATTTTCTTTTGTATATTATTTTCTCCTGGTTTTGGAACAGTGAAGTAGGTTTAAAATTGTAATTTTGTTGTTTTGGATGAGTTTATTTATCCTTTTGGTTTTGGGCATTGAAAGCTAGACTTACAGGCTAGACTTACAAGTACTTTTTTCTACAAGACAGTGCCTTTAACTTGCCCAAGTTAAAAGAAATAAATGTCCATTATTTGTACTATGTGGTGTCTTAGTCTGGCAGTTGATAAACTTTTTATGTACGGCCTTAATTTTCCCCTGGACATTTGAGGTCATAACAACTGTATGGACTGGAGATTAAATAGAGTGTTTTTAAACTTTAACAATGTTTACACACTACATTGAGGTTTCATGAAATGGGCCCTTTAATATTAATACCCAGTGCTCTCACCCTTGTTTGGCCAACACCTCTGGAGTATTTCTCATCTTCACCTCGTCGCCCTGTGCCGTATTCCTCCTGATGGGATGTGCTCATCCCCCCCGCTCGCCCCCATTCTTCTGCATTATCCGATTGGTGTGGAATGTGTTTATCTGTCTGAATCTGCCTGAAAGGCTGGTAGTCCCTCCTGTGTGCCTCGTGTTCAGCCTCAAAGTGATAATCTCTCTCCTCTTGCTGGAATCGTGGGGGCATTCGGGGAGGATCGTACTGGAAGCCTTTCCCTCGCCGGTTGCCATCACCTCCACGGGTTCCCCTCTGTCTGAATCCTCCCCGGTTCTCAGGAAAGTGACCTGCTGGGAAATCTCGCATCCCTCCCACACAGTCATCACGTCCGTGCTGCCGGTCACCGCTCAGGCCATTATCATGCCCGAAGGCTCCGTCCATTCTGTCCTGTCTGTAGCCGCGATAGTCCATGTCCCTGTAATCATGGTCCTCTGCATCTTTGCCATAGCGACCCATTCGGTCCCCGCGGCCGCCCCTGGCAAACAGCAGCAAAGGAAGACAAGGAAGGAGCTCAGAGAGACAGAACTTTACCTCACGTCACATACCTGCTTTAAACCAAACCTGCTGCCTTTAAATCTACTCTTCTCTTGTAATAACACAATTTCTCAGTGCTTGTTGTAATATTGACAAAAGATTATTGAGAAATATTAATAAATTAATACATACAATACTAATATTTACTAACTATTGTTACTGTTTTTATTGCTGATATCAGGCTTAAGAACAGAATAAACCTGTAGTGTTTACAAAACAATAATAATAATAATAATAATAATAATACTTATTATTGATACATTAATGATACTACTCCTACTACCAATAATAATAATGATAATAATAATAATAATTATTATTATTATTATTATTAGTAGTAGTAGTAGTAGTAGTTGTTGTAGTTGTAGTAGTACCAGTAGCATTACAATTTAACAAGTAAGACCCTCCTTACCTCCTCTCATAATCCATGTTCAGAAACTGCTCTGGGTAACGCCCCCTTCTCAGTCAGCCTAATACAGAACAATGTCAAAGCAAAATATCTGTTTAACAAGTCGTTCCAGTTGTAGTTTTGTTAAAAATGAAACCCAGATTTGCAGGATAAAACAGTTCCAGCAGTTTGTATCACCAATTCAAGGCTTTTACTGCTGCGAATTGTCCGTTCCACCTTAAATACTGCAGCAGTTAATCTACGTTCTGGCGCCGATGCCATTCCGTGTGTAACTGCTGCGCCACTTAAGGTGGAACGGAAAATTCGAATAACCAGCCAACTTCTAACGCAGGAACTTTTTACATCTAATACATCTAAACCTGCTTAGGAGCGTATAATACTCCGTGTTTATCTCTAAGCAGAATAACCTGCTGCTGTCAGATAGTCCGTTAAAATGAGAATATAAAACTTTTATTCAGCAGAAAGTCTTGTTAAATTGTTGATCTCTATGTATGTAGCAATTTCATGAAGCTAACCAACGTTAACTAAGCAGACAGCTGTTAGCTAACAAATAACTAACCACTCTCAGATTAATGTGGGGTTGAATTCTGCAGTAACTTCAACAAAAATAACTCATAATTTACTGAGTAATTTATTTATATTATAATTCATATCTTTTCTGACCAGCGTCTCTAAGTTAGCCTAGCTTTTTTTTCGTTTGCTAGCTAATGCTGCTAAGCTAGGTTAGCTTTGCTGGCTAAATAAGGTCACCTAAGACGTCCAGTGGGAAAGAAATGCAATAAATCTCAATTTTCTACGTGTAAAAAGAATGAACATATTTACCTTTATTAAAGCAGACATGTGCAACTGCTGACAGATTATTTAAAACGCTTTTTTGCGTTAGCTTCGCTGCACCGATGCAAATACACGGTGGACCTCTGCTGGGTTGCCAGATCCCTCCAACAGATTCCCCTCTGCATTAAAGGGGAACTCCACCTATTTATAACTGTCTCTACAATCAAATGGTTATGATGCAAACAGTGGTTTGGTGTGAAATGCTCCGTTGTAGAGAAACTTACCAGAACTGTTCACAGTGGTGGTGATAGGAACCAGACGTCCACCTCTAAAAGGCAAGGCAAGTTTATTAAACCACATAAAAAGTAAGAAATGCAATTGCAATTATACTGAAGTCATTTCCAGCACCCTGAGTGAGGAAGAGCACCAAAAGTTACCGCTTTCACCTGTTAAATAGAAGCCATAACTGAAAAAAACCTTACTTCAAAGTAATGCCACCCTTTAAACTGTAATCAGTCAGTGAAAGTGAAATGGTTGTAGAAACTCAGAGTTCTTTACAGCGGTGCTGAGTTTTTAAATGGAATCTTGATAATGGTAAAATAGTGGAAAATCTGAAATAATCAGTTTTCGTTGGGGACTATTGTGCCTCACAGCGCCCTGCATATTATGTATCCCTCCAACATGAATGGAGTTTAAGGCCAAAATGTTCTTAAAATTACCATAAAACAATGTATCAGACATCAGCCGGTGTATTCATAACCATTATATGTCATAACTTCCTGTGAGTGAACTTCTAGAGTTGGACGTCTGGTTCCTATCACCACTACTGTCAACAATTCTGATTCTGATGAGTTTCTCTAGAACAAAGCATTTTACCCCAAACCACTCTGAACAACTCTGATTACATCTTAACTGTAATTTTGCAGAAAAAAAAATTAGCAAAATTTTCTTTCAAGTAGACCACTGACTTCTGACTCTATAACAAAATGTTTCACACCAAACCACTCTGAATGACTTGTGTTTGTCTTAACCATGTAATTATAGAGAATTTGAAAAATCAAAGAAATTTCCCTTTATTGTTATAATCTGCCGCTGTTCAAGTTGTCACACTCACCATATTATTTATCAAACAAGCTTTCATGAGCCTGCATGTCCATTCTCCCCTGTTTAGTCAGCATGTTTATTGTATTCTGACAAAAGATTTCAGCAGCTACAGCAAAATGTTAGATTTTTAATAATAGTAACAGCAGTAAAAAGAAAACAGGAAAGAAAACTGTTAGCTTTTTCCATTAAATTTTATTTTCTAAATGCAATGCTTAAAAAACCATATGCTTTAAATAACACAAAACTGCCAAATGTTTTACAGCCCAGAATCCTTTGAGACATCAGCTTGGAAAAAGGGGAATAAGGCTGCAGCTGGAGGCCAAAGAGGATGAAAAAGACCCACCTCGACTTTAGCTGAGCACGAAAAACACAGAAACTGAGAGAAGCCGCCTAAATACACTCATTTACAAAGAGATGGTGACCACATGCATTCATATACACACATGTACAAACATACGTACAACCTGTCCGACACGCAGAAACAGTCGCTGAAGAAGACAGTGGAGGGAAATCTACGACAACCGACTGGGCCAAGAGTTCAGGGCTAAAACGAAAGAAAACTAAAAAAAATCTTACTTATGGAGTCTTTTATTAAAGTAACAGCTCAATCAAATGTGCTAACATGGCTAACAGAATGAAATGAAGCCAGCAGCCACCATTTAGCATAATCAGTGCATGACGCTAACCGGTAGCTATTCGCTTTCATTCACTGTTAGCAACGTTAGCATTTTTGTTCAGACTGTTTCTTTAAAAGCCTAACCTCAAAACCTCGGAGGAAAAGTCTTAACCCCCCAAACCCACTCTGGGCTGCAGGGATGACAAATAATGCGGTCATCCCACAAAGGCTAACTGTGCCTCAGGGTTTCTCTTGGCTTTGCCCTACATTTCCCATGATGCTTCAGGTGTATCAGCATGGGAAAGCAGACCTGACCCCCTCCCCCTACTTCTTCCGCCTCCACAGCCGAGTTAAACCCTCCACTTTACCCGTCTCTATAATAACAGGCAGGCGTTCTTCTTGCCGCGCTTCTTCGCCTGCAGCGCCGCCCTGGTGGCCATTTCGAACACCTCTCGCACACCGTCTTTTGTCTTGGCTGAGCATTCTAAATAACCGAAAGCGTTGATTCGATTGGCCATGTCTCGCCCTTCTTCTGGTTTTACGGGCTCCTGCAGAGGGACACAAGCGAGATACAGATTAGAACCGTCCAACAGGGGGCTTTAGAACCAATAAAACAAGATTACCTTGAATTCATCCCCCGCACTGAACTTAAAATGGATGTTGGCGGGTCTACATCAATGCTATACAAATAAATTTAAACCAAACTGAATTAGGTCTGGGATGATTAGCAACACTGATTAAAAAAAAATTTGATAATTATCATACATTTGTATTATTTATGACCACAAGTGCATTACAGACACAAATTCATTATATCTACAGCAGTTTCCATTTCCACCAGAGGGGGCGCCAACCCATACAGCCTCTTCACACTGTGTAGCACTGGGCAATTAATCAAATTTTATTTTCAATTACAAAAACGAGATAATCGAGATAAAACAATTACTGTTATTCCGTTTCACAATGATATTATCGTTTTGTCGTGTTATAAATCTAGCGCACCCGTTTCCTATATTTTGTCAGTCAAATTATGTTTAAAATGAAAGGAAATCAACTATTAAAAAAACATTTTTTTAAAAGTTCAATAAATGCATGATGTTTCCAAATCAATGAGCAATCGTGTTAAATAATCATGATCTCAATATTGACCAAAATAATTGTGTTTAAATAGGTAGACAGTTTATCACTTTATTAATCCCTGAAGGAAAGTAGTGAATTACAGCAGCAAAAAGTACAGTAAAGAGCAAAACAAGAGCAAAAGTATTACTGTACATTATTGTACAGACACAAATAGACGTCAAGATATCTAATAAGAATATAATAAAACATGCATTAAAAGGTATAATGCGCAAGTGAATAAATAAGTAAAGTCACATAAATATCATGCAGGTTACAGTGCACTGATGTACTGTCAGATCCAGTGAATCACCTAAACAAAAAAAAAAAGTACAAGAAGAAACAAACAAACTGACTGACTGCACTTTAAACTACAGTACAGTAACATATTAGATTATGATTTTTGCCAAAATCTTTCTGCAAGCAGCCCTAATAGCGTGTCAGGAACATTTACTTTTGAAAACGTAAACATGCTGTTTCACCTTCTGTAGTTTATTCTGTTGGCTCCTTTTAGAGCTCTGAGCTGAGCTGAGTCTCAAGCTCCACACAGCACTGCTGCAGAGCTCCTGTGAGAGTTAGTGTTGAGCTTTTTGTTTAAGGAATGGGCTAAAACCCAGTGTCCGTATCTTCTTGGTCACATTGGCTATAAAAATAATACTACTCGATGGGTTTAGTTCAGAGTTTTTCATTTTTTATTAAAGGCATGTCAGACTTACTGTGAAGTTTTTTGTGCGATAAAATTACATCTGCTGCTTTCATCCATACAATTGCCTCTGCGTTAAAAGTTCTCATGACGAGCAAACAATAAATAAAATTAAGAATGAAAATACTGTTTCTGACTGTGTGGCTGTGTGTTAATACCAGGAAGCTCACAAGGAGTATGCTCAATGTGCATTTTTATGTTACTATAGGGAGCGACAGACTAGACATCAGAATGTCTTTAAACTGAATCTGCTATAATAATCTGCTATAATATACATTTCCACAGGTGTATACTGCAGAAAGACAAAATAGAAAGTGAGGTTCATGTATGAATCATTCTGAGGAAGAACAGAGAGTTTGTGTCTGTTTATACACTGATCACTTTCTGCAATACTTAGAATGCAGCTTGCACTAATGTTGCATTAACTTTCAGGTAAGATGATTTTAGAACCTAACAATGCATTAAATCAGGTCACACAGCTCAAAGCAGTTGTGTTTGCATACAAGGCCATATGTTTAGCATAATGTGACCAAACAGGAGCATGAACTCATAATGCTGCAGTTCTCAGCTGAAAAACACTCACCATATAAAAGAATAAAAGACAGAAGAAGTGAGCATACCTGTTTCATTTTGGCCAGCTCCCTTCGAGTGTGCTCGTCATTACGGAGGTCCTTTTTGTTGCCCACAAGGATGATGGGAACATTTGGACAAAAATGCTTCACCTCTGGTGTCCACTTTTCTGGAATATTCTCTGTGAAATAAAACCAAATGGAAAATATTAACACTGATTATTCACCATTTTATCCTTTCAAAGAAACCCTACACGATCACTTTATTTCACTGGCCACTTTATTAGAAACACCTCCCTTGTGCTTCCACTCACTGGCCACTTAGGAGCTCTTCCTTTATAAATCCACTACATAGGGGCCATTTTAAACCAGCACGGCTTGTTTTCTTAACACGTGTCAGTGTCACAGCTAGGTTGAGAGTGGTCCATCACCCAAAATATACAGACAAGAACACCTCTATGATCAGAAATTTACAACTGATTTAAAAAAAAAAAAATAGACAATGGCTAATATAAACTGTGCATCATGATGAGCTACAGTCTCTAACTGGACACAAACAAGGTGGAGTTACAAGGGAGGGGTTTCTGATGAAGTGGTCAGAAGCGTAACTGTAGAAGATAAGAAGCATTATCGGAGTGGGGCTGAGTGAAGGGCAGCAGATACAGACTGTGGAACACAGCTGACCTATAATCATGAGAACTTTTAATAATGACATCTTACCCAAGCTATCAGGACTGTCAATAGAAAAGCACATGAGAATGACATCAGTATCAGGATAGGAGAGCGGTCTTAACCGGTCATAATCCTCCTGACCTGCAGTGTCCCATAAGGCAAGCTCTACCTGCAAAACATAAAAGAAAACCGAATCATTTTAACATCAACAACAACAATAAAAATAAACACTGGCAATACAGCTACAACATTTATTCCACTTCAGTATGACTCACTGTTATGTTTAAACACGAACTAAATACATTAGCACAACTAAAAACAGTATTTGCAGCCATATTAAACAATTAATTATATCCACAATTTTCCTGAAAACCCATTAGGGCTGCCATGAC